CAACAAAAATCAGAAAAACTTGACGAAATAAGAGAGAGAAAGTGGCGACGGCTTTGTATGGTGGTGACCACCGCAGATGGTGAGAGTGATTTTTCAAAAATTTCTTCTTGGGCTTTGTTGATTTGGTAATGGGTAGGTTTTATCTCAAATTTGAGCATCAAATTTTGAGTTTTGGAGGTGGATTGGTTGCATAGAAGTTTGAGACTTTGGGAGAAATTTTGAAAAGAAGATGAGGAAGGAAGGGGTCATGTTTGAGCAGAGAGAAAGAAAGTGATGAAATGAAGTGAGACATGAGAAAAGGGATGAAAAGTTGGAGCTTTTATAGGCCTCATCAAAGCGGTGGTCAGACCCGACAAAGGGCTGTCGTGGTTGATGAATCAAGTTATTGTCGACTTCCTGCATTTTCATGTTAGTTCACTGACCTGGATAGTATGAAGTGAATTTTATTCATCCATTCTCCATCAAATATGTTCCTTTCCAAGAATTCTAATGACACTTTATTTATGGTGTTTATCACACCTAGGGTTGATAATCGGTCCGGTTATTGACTCGTCCCGAATACCATAATAAATTCCCGCCTAAGGTCCAAGTATAAACCTTAGCCGGGTGCAGTACATGATAAGTATGATTAAATATCAACCTGGGACGGTCCGTGTACCCCTACTTCAGTCATTCGAATCATTATCTAGTAATAAAGTTTTGGTGAAAGTTTGCTAATTAAAATAAAATAAGGCAAAGGTAAATGGTTTTGAAAGCTCTTTATGAGAATGATCACTCGGGTGTCGCTTCACCTTAACTACTACCATGGTATGTGAATTGAAATGATTGCTATGGGCAAGGTAACCGCGGACCGCAGAGGGATGCAAATATGGTCGTAGACCACACTCTCGATTGCTAACCTGAGGTATACTTTATAGGCCGTGTCACTCGGCCCTCTCAGTTTAGGAAATCGGTGGTTGACTTACTCCCTCACTCAACTCAAGGGTTGGACGGCTTAATCGCGCTTAACCAATTTGCTTAATTGATCAACATTGAGGTTTTCCCTAAATTAACCTAATTAGGTGGCTTGAAAAGCTAAAGGAAAACCAACTCGATTGAGTCTCCCTTGGAAGGGGGATTTTCCTCTCTAATCTAGGTTAAAGTGGCTAATAGATTGCTAAGCACCAACATGCACAAACCTAAGGATGCTAAGCACAATTATGCACAATCCTTAGGTTGCTAAGCACCAACATGCACAAACCTAAGGATGTTAAGCACAAAACATGCACAATCCTTAGATTGCTAAGCACCAACATGCACAATCACATGAATAATACCTCAGTCATTGAATTAAACAATACCCAATGACAATCATTCAATTCACATAAAAGAAACTACATGGTAGCTAGTTAGGGTTTCACAACACCCAAGTGAAAAGAGGTAGAAACCATCTTGAAAGAGGCTTCCAATCTTCTCTTGGGGAGAATCTTTCCAAATCCCACCTTGTAGCAAAACCCTAGCCTCCTTCCTTTGGTTCGTGTTTCTCTCTCTAAAAATTTGAAGAAGGCTTTCTCACACAATGGGCTCTCCCCTCTCTCTTGCTTTCAGCTCATCTTTTAAACAGGGAACGTTCTCAGTTCACGGCCGTGAACTCTAATATGAGTCCGTGAACTGAAGATGGGCACCGAAACACACCGCTTTGCTTCCACGGGTTCACGGCCAACAACTCCTGTTCACGGTCTTAGCGACTGTGAACTCAATTAGCATAGTAACTCGCATTTTGGCCCTGGACGCCTCAAAGTTCACGGCCAATGGCTCTTCTTCACGGTCATACAAGACCATGAACATCCAAGGAAAAACGTGAACTCGCCGTTTTTCACCCCTTCTCCCGGTTTTCGCTCCTTTTCGTCTAACTTTCGACTCCGGAGCTGGTTTCACCTGTTAAATCCTGAAACACACTAAAAAACGAGAAACCTAGCGTAAAACCATCCTTTTGGGAGCAAAATTGCCACAAACGACTAAGGAAAACGGGGGCAAAACATGTACAATTAAGCCCGAATCAGTTATAACCGGAACCGTTTAGTGGGTTCTCGATTAACAATTAGGCACTTTGTGCTTCGTTAGCAGCAGCTTGAACTTTTAAGTTATTACATTTTATGATTATTAGTATAAAGGGGAGATTCAGATTTCATGGTTTGTCCAAGGGGTTAGGGCTTGGTTTTAAGAAATTACATTTTATTTTTAGTATTTTTTTAATGTTATTTATGAACAGCTTCCACTATTTTTTTTCAAGTATTTTCAGTTCTTATTTGTTTCACGGTTTTTCAAATGTATTTTTGTAAAAGTAGTACCCGGCCGGGTTAGGATGTTACATTTTGGCATCAGAGTGAGTCTTCATTTGTTCCTTGGTCTCCATGGAACTTCATCTCACTTCATCCCAAGCTAGGGCCTTGATTGTTTTTGGTTTTGGATATCGAAACTTTATCAAACCTAGATCGATGTTACCCCCTCATCTATCATTAGAACTTGCTACTAGTACTACCATAGTACGTCTTCATCTTCCTATCTTCATATTTCTCGTTCGAGGCTAGTGGGTAGCAAGCCTCCACCCACCTTGCTTCAAGTCGTTAACGTCACTTGGGTCCTCCAGAGTTGTCACGATTTCTATGGTTTTCGAAGAGGATGAGAGAGAAAGAAACACTTGAGGACTAAAAGTTGCTTATTGGAGAAAAAGTGAAAAACTAAGGGTGTTTTTACTTTCGAGTCCGTTTACTGTGATTGGCAACAGAAAACATAGCATGATGGAAACAAAGCTATCGATTCTTGAGAAACAAAACCTTAAAACTTGCAAGTGAAAACCTGTTAAGTTGAAACTTTTGCTGAATTCTAAACCTAAAATCTAAATGATGGTAGATTGTTTGAAATCAATATAAGGAAAAGTTGAATTATCTAACATAATAATTATAAAGTCAACATCAATCGCCCTTATAAAAAAAAGATTAAATATAAAAAGGAGAATAAAATTTATTTCATTAGAGAAGAAATTAGATAGATGTGAATTTTATAGCGACTATTTTAAATTAAATCAAACCATTTGTTTAATATAAATGAATCCATACGTTTTTAGGCAATAATTTGAAATGAAATGTATTTCTGTTTATAATACATTTTGAATTTTTTAAATTAAATTTGAAGGGTAATAACTATTTATTAGCCAAATCTTTTTTTATTTTTTTATTAGCCAAATCTATTGAAATACTAAGAATTAGCCAAACTTTTTGTAACACGTCAAATTAATAACCATTAATCTGTTTCTTAACGGTGCTCCACCTCAGCGTCCAAGTCAGCTGCCACCTCATCAATGAATAAAATAAAAATGGGTAAACACCAATTATTCGCCAAACCTTTCTCGCATTCCTTTTTATTAGCCAAACCTATTGAATTACTGACAATTGGCCAAATTTTTTGGAAAAAATCCAAATATACCACTATTTAAAAAAAATTACAAAAATACCACCCACTCCCAATAATTTCCAAAAATATCATCGTTTATTTTAAACCGCGCCTCCTGGCAGCGGTTATAGCACAAAACGCGCCTCCAACGCGCGGTTTGACCATGCATGGCTGTCAAAACGCGTGGCCACGTGGCGGTGCATCAAACCGCTCGTTGGGGGAGTGATCTGACGGCCAAACCGCGCGCCAGCTCAGCGATCCGCGTCGCTCAGTCAAACCGCTCCCCCGAAGCGCGGTTTGACTGTTGGGGAACTCAAACCGCGTGCTGGATGCGCGATTTTAGGCGGGGTAAAAGGACGAAACCGCCCCTCCCTCACGCGGTTTCGTCCTTATATAAACCCCCCTTCCCCCTCCCATTTTCTGCACATCAAACCCATTCCCCCCCCCCCCTCTCTCCCTCTAACTTCTCACTCTACCCACCCCCCTCCCCACCCAAAAACCTTAGAATTAGTTATTTTGTTGGTTGCGGCTAAGTTCGATCTGCCTCCAAAAAACTTTTTCTTTGGTTTTCACTAAAAAACCGTCGAACCTCTGTCCGAATTCCGAAAAAATGGTCGATTTCGCCTAAGAAGAGGGTCTTTTTTTATGATGATTATCAAACGGTACGTACTCATTTTTCCCAGTTGTTGTTGTTGTTATAATGATTTATTTAATATATATACTAATTGATTTATGTTATTGTTATGCTATCGTAGGTTGGGCCGGATGTTGATATTTTCAATCAACGATATTATGTTGATCAAGGACCGATTGATCCGTCAGTTTTATACGATCAAGCAAATCATTATTCAAGAGACGTTTGGAACGACCACAAGGTACATATTATTTATCATCACTTGTAATTTGTATTTTGTTAAAGTAATTTATTTGTTTGTACAATAATTTACTTAATTGTTAATCGTATTGATTATTTTCAATAATTTAAATCAATACAATACAACACTTATTTGGACTCTTTATAAAGAAATGCATGTCTAAGGAAATGGGGACTTAAGCGATCATCATGATCCCCCCATGACCTGGGAAAATCGGGTTCTAAGCGATCCTCGGATCCCTCCTTTTTCTGTCAAAAAGACTGTGTTTCTAAGGAGATGTATACCTCTCCTAAGAGTCTTACGAGTGTACTTGTATTGCTTTAAATTATTGAAAATAATCAATACGATTAACAAAATAATATATTTGATTTTATGTGTATGTGTACAAAATATATTATACTTAAATTTCGAAAATTATTTTAGTTATGTTAATATTAATGTTTATTAGATAATGTATATTTCTCTAAAATAACCTTGATTTAATTAATATTGCATCTTATAATATTATTTAGTTATGTTAATATTAATGCTTATTAGATAATGTATATTTCTCTAAAACAACATTGATTTAATTAATATTGCATCTTATAATATTATTTAGTTATGTTAAAATTAATGTTTATTAGATAATGTATATTTCTCTAAAACAACATCGATTTAATTAATATTGCATCTTATAATATTATTTAGTTATGTTAAAATTAATGTTTATTAGACAATGTATATTTCTATAAAACAACCTTGATTTAATTAATATTGCATCTTATAATATTATTTAGTTATGTTAAAATTAATGTTTATTAGATATAACCATAACGACTAGAAACGTGGGCGATGATGGTTTTCACCTTCAGGTCGGGCTACTCCTCAATTAGATGTTTGATAGCCGCGGCAACCACCCTTGATTTCAACTGTCGATGACCTTGGGATGTTATTGATGACACACATGTGTGTGTGTTCACCGCACGGGATATGACCCAATGGTCGACTCTCTTGCTCTTGATGGCCCGGACCCTAGCTTTGCATCCCTCATTTTCATTTTTGCATCGAACCATCAACCTCTTTGTGTCGGAATGGGTTGTTTGCCATTCAAAACTCCGAGTCATTGCTTTAGTGGAAATAGCGTGTCGGACCTCATTCTTCGTTGCAAATTGTTGGCCCTTCGTAAAGCCAGTTAGTGGACCCCATACTGGCACATCTGGTGGGTCCATGTCTGCATCAACATACCAATCTTCAATTTGAATGTGATTGTAGTATGGAATAGGCACACGGTCGTGAGGTACCTCATCACCATCTGCGTCTGAATTTGGACCGGAATCATCAGCACCTTCCAGCGGATCGAAGCTGTCTGCACTAACTTCGCCTTCCTCTTCTTCAACCTCAGGGTCACTAACTGGACTTGGATTGACCTCTTCTTCCATCTGATTATCATCATGAAAGGCACCTTCACCTTCACAAGCTCCGTAATGGTAGTTGTGGTAACTAACACCGCTTTGATAGAAGTTGTACCTCGGGTGGGTACTGGTAGCCTGCTTGTTGGTTGTGATCCGCCTGTTGAGCTTCTTCTTCATATGAAGGGAAGGATTGATGACTTCCTCCACTTCCATGATGATACTCCTGCTTCTAGCTCGAGTCTTGGAAATCCAGGTGGGGATGATCTTCGTATAATACACTCCCACCGTGGATACCAGATGTTTGGCCATCTCCAAAATGACCTACACTGGCTTCGACGACATCAGTGTAAACGAACATCTCCGCTTGCTTAAATTTATTGGTGTTCAAAAATTGGACCATGGCATCAACGTCCTCCTGAGTGGTAAGGAGGAATTCCTCATTCCACAGTGACCCGTCATGTCTGTTTGGATATCGATACACCATTTGATCAACTCTTCTAGTGCCATCCATGCAAGTAATCTGAGTGCACATTTGATGGAGCTCTTCAAGCATCGGTCTCGTACGGACCTTCATTTTATAAAAATTGCCACCGACGTAACTTACACCCTTTTCGGTCTCTTCCGTTTAACCATTCCACAGCAACCCAAGCGTGAACCTTTGGAATGCCATCTGCAATGAAAAGTAATACAAGTTACTAACATAACATCACAAAGGACAATGAAAAGTAATTAAGTGTTACACCCCGATCTTTGGGTTCAGGGTCGACCATAATACGTGAATGGTTGGATTAACGGTTACGTACTAAGCATTGAAACCGCGGATTAGGAATAATAATAATAATTATTATTATTATTATTATTATTATTATTAAAAAAAAAGGAAATGGGCCGGGAGGGCGCTCGGCCCTCAGTGTATATTCCCCACCACCCGTCCCCATTCACTAAATGGGGAGAAAACCCAAAACCCCTGCCCTAGCCACAATAGCATCGAATCACCCCAACCAATTCACATACCTTTTCCTTCTCAATCCCGCCGTCATCACACCGCGATTCAGAAAGATGGCGTCAAGAAGAAGACTCAACGAAGTCGGCTGGCCACATGCCCACAACCGGGAACGACTGGCTGGACAGATGACGGATCGTCACCTAGAATTCAAGATCGAAAATGATAGGCAGTGGTGATGATTATGGTGATTTCCCTTTTGAATCGTTGAGATCTTTAATTCCATGAGCTGTTAGCGATGAGAGCGGAAGAAACAGTGATGGGAGTGATGAATTGAAGAAGGAAGAAGCGAGCACAGGAAGATAAGTGTTGTGATTGAGATATATACAGGGCGATTCTTAGAGTCCTCAATCAAGAGAAGGTATCGGCTTTAGGTTTCTTTGACTGGATGATGATTACGAAAACATGTGTGGCCTTAAATTGGTCAGGGACCTCGACATGGAGGGTGAATGGAGCAGCTTGGTAAAAAGCATATCGTGGATATTGGAAGGGGGTTTGGTGGCTTTACATGGTTGGCATTATTCCTATGTATGTGTTCACGTGGGAGTTGGGAAATTGTTGTCTTGGAGCAAAGGATCAACTGAGCTATAATGGAGAAGATGGAATCCGTCAAGGCAAATGAGCAATTCCAATCGCCCTGGAATTACAAATCGTATAAGGTGAGTGTAAAGGGGGTAAAATCTCCGTCGAGGTCTTTTAGTTTATGCTTTTTTTAATTCAGTTATGTTATTTAATTTTCAAGTTAGCGTGATTATGTGTGTGAGGCATCCCACCGCCTACTTAAGGTGGAGGCACGCGTTGTGCTATGTATGTGTATGTTTGTGATATATGGTTGATGGTAAGATGAACCCCCAGGCGGTTGGGCCACTACTGGACGCGGTAGATGGTCGGGTCACTACTGGACGGCGATACGTAACGCAGTAGTTGACCGGGCATGGACTGGACGGCGATACGTAACGCAGTACCATTGCCTTGAGGATAGGGACACCGGACGGCGATACGTAACGCGGTGATTCCCTAGTAATAAGTATGTGAGTTAAGGTAGTAGTAGAGAACTTCAATAAGCTAGTAAGGAAATAAAGTATGAAGGATGAAAGTGAGAACGACTTTCGTCTAAGGCATGAAACCCTGATAATGTGTTTAGTAAGGAGTTGCCTAGGCAAAGACCTTAGGAAGTAACGACGAGACTGACCCCTTCTCACTCACCAGGTTGAGGAAGGGTTATTCGACGTGGTTTTCGAGAAGAGACATGACAAGGCGAGCAGCCGCACAAGCATTGACGAGGTGTCAAGGAGCTAAGCCAGGAGTTATAGTTTGTTTAGTCAGTTGTGGTTATGATTATGAGTATAACTGGAGGTTCAAAGGTTGAGGTTTATTAACTATGCATTTGAGTTTTGCCCACGTGTTTAGGGCATTGCATTTGATGTTTTTCTTGGGAATGTTTAAGTTGTATTTGAATTTTAAGCTTTGTTTTTAACCGGCTCCGGAGCCATGATTATTTCGGTTGTTTAAAAGGATCGGGGTGTTTCATTTTGGTATCAGAGCCTGGTCTTCCTCTGTTCTTTGGTTTCCAAGGAATACTGGAATGTCGGTCTCAGTTTTTAAAGGTTTTGTTTTAAAGGAAAGGAAAATGAGTCAAGGATCTTATTTTAAGAGTCTCTAGAATCTCCAGTCTACTCTAATCATATTGAGGTGAATAACTATGACAGCACCACGTCACTACGAGAAGGTAGCACGAGGGTGCAATTGGTTTAAGAATAAGCTAGGACGCGGGTTAAGTTAACACGTTGTGGGACGTCAAATAAGAGATTGAGGGGTATGGCGATCATCAGTATGAAAGGAAAGAAGCAAGAAATGTGGCCAACTCTATTAGAAAGGAGGAATGTTTTAAGAAGGCCTATGGTGGTATAATCAAATGTCCAAGGACATCAACTCTAGACACCAGCAAAAAGGTGCCAATTGAAGGGGAATACCTCAAGGATTTTGAAAGAGTTGAGAGAGTAGTACGGGGATTTTACTACTAGGAAACAAGTGGATGATCTAATAAGCTAAGACAAACAAAGGGGAGAAATACGAATCTCCAAAGGAAGAGGAACAATCACTAGATGTTAGTAGCAATAATGATGGGAGAATTTTAGGGTCCTTGACCCTAAGCAGTGGCGACTCAAGAAACGAAGAGGTACCACGAGAAGTCCCTCAACTAGTTTTAGTGGTCCACGCTATTACAACACAATGACAGGGAGTAGTGGAAAGCTTAGGATTCAAGAAAAGCTAAGGTAGTATAAATGAAGCAAATGAGGTAATAAATAAGTTACAGGGAGTATGAAAGGTTGTCAAGAATTCAACGGGTCAAGGAGGAGAGGAGGTAGGGTCATTTTCATATGACGATCAAGGAACCCTTATAGATAAACTACCTCACTAGAGAAGAGGGTACATGACCCTAGGGAGTTAAGCTGATAGCAAGCCTTTAAAAAGGAACAAGACAAGCAACGAGATAAATGATGTAGAGGTTGAGGTTAGATCAGGCATGCTTTACACCTATCAAGCGCAAGCTAGAGGACAAGGTATGAGAAGGGGTTGAGAGACCCTGCAATTTACCATGATCAAGGAGAATTAGAAAATCATGGAATTTCAAGGAATCCATTGGGGAAGTCTAAAGTGGGAACTAGAGGGCCAAGAGCGGGAGTCTCGGAACCAGTCGTAGGTGTAAATCCTTTAATCAACCGGGTATAGACAAGCAAGTACAACGTTCATTAGAAGTTCTAATGGAAGTTGGAGAATTCGAGGAAGAGTCTAACGGTCGTAATGAGGAGAGTTTGCGAACAATACCAAGGAAGAGCAAAAAGGCCAGAGGGAGTTTGACGAGATTTCAAGAAGTCAATGGGTCAAGTCTCAGGTGACTCGAGGTCAAGAAGCTGCACAAAGAGGTACGATGAGGGAAAGCATTATCGAGAAGGATGAAAAAGAGAAGTTACCTTATCCAAGGTGCCCCACTCTGAGTGGGCGCGGCATGGTAGGAGGGCTCCAGCGGAGACAACTAGTTAAGGATGAAACAGGCACGCTTAGTTAAGCCACTGAGAATCCTAACTAAGAGACTAAGTTTATGTACAAGATCGATCAACAAAAGGGACATGAAATGAGTCATGTTAAAGGCTACCAAGGGCAAGCCACCATCGGAAGTTGTGACCTAAAATAACAACGAGAAGATATTCAACAGAGGTTGGTGACCCAATATAGTACAAGCAACATCAGAAGAGTTGTAGTTTGGTGGTAGTAAAAGTAAAGAAGCAAGGAGGACACCATAGGACGCTATAGGAAATAAAATAATAAAGGAAGTTGTCGACCGGACAAGGAATGCGTGAAAGAAGATAGTTGGGATGTGGCCAAGCACCATCGTGAGTAGAAATCGTGGGTGTCATCTGTCAAGTCTACCTAGAGAAAGTTCTAGTGGAAATGTTGGCTCCGAGGTATGGCGAGGAGCTACTAAACTTAGTAGACCAAAGCTAGTACCAAGCATCGATGAAGGAGTTGTGGAAGTAAGGAGGAAACCACAAGGCTGTAATGAATGGTGAAAAGGGTGGTAGTTGATAAAACGACAAATTCAGGGAGAAAGATAGTAGGGAAGAGCCGGCGAAAGAATACGAAGGTCAACAATGAGGCGTTAAGATGATTGCCAGTGGAGAATAAGTTGGACCATAGGAAGCCCATCAAGAACTGAGAAGCTCAATGGTCAACTTTAAAGTAGAAGTGTGGTTGTCCAGAACAGTCGAAGGGAAAACCTTATCGGTCAAGGTACATTAGTAAGAAGAGAATTTGAGAACCTAGATGACTACATCGAGAATAAGGACATCCTCTAAAACTAGCGAGAAATATCAAGTTGAGAGTCACGAGTAAAGAAGTAAGAGGGATATGAGTTTAGGGAACCAGCGAGGATTCCCCAAAGTGAAACCAAGACCGCCTATGAGGGTGAAAGGTGGCGATCCCTTGGGTGACAATTTCTTGGACGGGGAAACGTACGATGAATTTCAGCCAAGGTCTAAGAACGATAGAAGAGATAGTACGAGAACTCCCAAGTCAAACAGTGATAAGGAAGTGTTAAATTAGGCGCCATGAGTGAAAAGTACTCAAGATGGAAGGTCATGATTCGGGAAAGAAGTCATAAGATTGATCGCAAGTTAGAGAAAGATGCAAAGGATGCCTTTAATGCATACAGGAAGTAAAAGCAGTAGTATAAGATTTCAGAGTTAAGCAAGAAGTAACGATGAGATGACCACTCAGTTTATGGTTAAAAGATAAGACGAGGCATCAAGGAAGAAAGTAAGGGGTGCAAAGTTAGGAGATACAAGGACCTAGGTGACCTATGTGGTCAACCACAGATGGGTTTACGTTAAAAGAGTTTTGCGATCAAACAAAAAGGAGATCACGCTGCCCTTAGTAATCTTGGGGTCAAAGTGGTATTAATTTCTTACGTACCAAATGATGGAGATGACGGATGCCCTAAACACGTTCGAAGTAAATGACCAATGTGAAGGGGGTAAGAGGCATCAGACAACAAGGCATTATCGAGCAAGTCGAACACTCACCATGAACGTTTACGTCATGGATTTCAAAGGGGTGCATCAACAATCGTGAAAAGGAGAACATCATAGGTCAAGTTACTGGTGAATTATTAGACGATGTTGCTTAAGAAATTGTAAGGGGGATCTTGAGAAACTGCGGTAATCACAAGATGTTTTGAGTAAGGCAACACAACATCGAAGCCGTATATGGGTGGTGAATTTCATAGTTGTATCGAGCTAATAGCTAGCTAGGCAAGTTGTCTACGAGAAATGGTTGAACTACCAGTCTTCTAAAATCACATCATATCGAAGGGAAGGATGTATAGCTCAGTGTCGCACAAGTTAAGGAGGTACAATTCTTTGTAAATAGATTATCGCCAGTGAGATTTGAGAACATCACCACGAACAAATTTCGAGGTCGAAATTTTTCTTAAGGAAGGGGGAAATGTGATACCTCGATCTGGACCTATATACTACAACCAACTACCGAATGAGTCGGGTCACGAACCAGATTTAACCAGAATTTTGTTTCAGTAAGAAACTGAGCTTGATCGCGGGAGTTAAAAGGCCAATGAGTCACTTAAAGTTATACGGTGCTACAAAGCTATGTGAGGATACCTTTTATGGTCAAGAGGAAATAACTTGAGGTGAGGTAAACTATACGGGACAAGCAACAGACATCATCAAGGTTCAAATAGAGAGAGTAAATTTTTGGGGCAAGGGGACAAGTACAAGAATGGTGTTGACAAAGGAATGAGATTGAAGCAAATTTCGGGGACGAAATTTTTATGAGGGTGGAGGAAATGTTACACCCCGATCTTTGGGTTCAGGGTCGACCATAATACGTGAATGGTTGGATTAACGGTTACGTACTAAGCATTGAAACCGCGGATTAGGAATAATAATAATAATTATTATTATTAATATTATTATTATTTAAAAAAAAAGGAAATGGGCCGGGAGGGCGCTCGGCCCTCAGTGTATATTCCCCACCACCCATCCCATTCACTAAATGGGGAGAAAACCCAAAACCCCTGCCCTAGCCACAATAGCATCTGATCACCCCAACCAATTCACATACCTTTTCCTTCTCAATCCCGCCGCCATCACACCGCGAACCAGAAAGATGGCGTCAAGAAGAAGACTCAACGAAGTCGGCTGGCCACAAGCCCACAACCTAGAATTCAAGATCGAAAATGATAGGCAGTGGTGATGATTATGGTGATTTCCCTTTTGTATCGTTGAGATCTTTAATTCCATGAGCTGTTAGCAATGAGAGCGGAAGAAACAGTGATGGGAGCGATGAATTGAAGAAGGAAGAAGCGAGCACAGGAAGATAAGTGTTGTGATTGAGATATATACAGGGCGATTCTTAGTGTCCTCAATCAAGAGAAGGTATCGGCTTTAGGTTTCTTTGACTTGATGTGATGATTACGAAAACAGGCGTGGCCTTAAATTGTTCAGGGACCTCGACATGGAGGGTGAATGGAGCAGCTTGGTAAAAAGCATATCGTGGATATTGGAAGGGGGTTTGGTGGCTTTACATGGTTGGCATTATTCCTATGTATGTGTTCACGTGGGAGTTGGGAAATTGTTGTCTTGGAGCAAAGGACCAACTGAGCTATAATGGAGAAGATGGAATCCGTCAAGGCAAATGAGCAATTCCAATCGCCCTGGAATTACAAATCGTATAAGGTGAGTGTAAAGGGGGTAAAATCTCCGTCGAGGTCTTTTAGTTTATGCTTTTTTTTAATTCAGTTATGTTATTTAATTTTCAAGTTAGCGTGATTATGTGTGTGAGGCATCCCACCGCCTACTTAAGGTGGAGGCACGCGTTGTGCTATGTATGTGTATGTTTGTGATATATGGTTGATGGTAAGATGAACCCCTGGGCGGTTGGGCCACTACTGGACGCGGTAGATGGTCGGGTCACTACTGGACGGCGATACGTAACGCAGTAGTTGACCGGGCATGGACTGGACGGCGATACGTAACGCAGTACCATTGCCTTGAGGATAGGGACACCGGACGGCGATACGTAACGCGGTGATTCCCTAGTAATAAGTATGTGAGTTAAGGTAGTAGTAGAGAACTTCAATAAGCTAGTAAGGAAATAAAGTATGAATGATGAAAGTGAGAACGACTTTCGTCTAAGGCATGAAACCCTGATAATGTGTTTAGTAAGGAGTTGCCTAGGCAAAGACCTTAGGAAGTAACGACGAGACTGACCCCTTCTCACTCACCAGGTTGAGGAAGGGTTATTCGACGTGGTTTTCGAGAAGAGACAGGACAAGGCGAGCAGCCGCACAAGCATTGACGAGATGTCAAGGAGCTAAGCCAGGAGTTATAGTTTGTTTAGTCAGTTGTGGTTATGATTATGAGTATAACTGGAGGTTCAAAGGTTGAGGTTTATTAACTATGCATTTGAGTTTTGCCCACGTGTTTAGGGCATTGCATTTGACGTTTTTCTTGGGAATGTTTAAGTTGTATTTGAATTTTAAGCTTTGTTTTTAACCGGCTCCGGAGCCATGATTATTTCGGTTGTTTAAAAGGATCGGGGTGTTTCATTAAGTTACTAACATAAAATCACAAAGGACAATGAAAAGTAATTAAGTTACCAACATAAAATCACAAAGGACAATGAAAAGTAATTACGAAACAAACTTACGAATTAACGTTAATCGCAAAAACTAAATAATTTAAAGGTGCAAAGCTGAAATTTGAAGAAGGAAGAGGAGGAGCGTGAAGAATTGAGTTCTCTGAAACAGCCTTTTATAGGCATATTTTACAGCAAAACCGCTGGGAGGGGGGGGGGGGGGGAGCGATTTTAGGTCTGCCATGCGGCCTACCCCCCGCATGCCGACGTGTCCGACATGTTTGCTGTCGGGTGACCAGGCACAAACCGCGCCTTGGGGCAGCGGTTTATGTCCTGACATGGTAAACCGCCGCCTGGTGGGGCGGTTTATCATGTCGACATTTAAACGCTCCCTCTTCAAGCGTTTTGTGGTAGGGTCCTATAACCGCGCCTTCCAGGAGCGGTTTTGCTGGAAATTAAAAACGCCTCTTCCAGAAGCGGTTATATTCTAAACCGCTGGCAGGAGGCGTGGTTTCACTAAAAACCGCTCATTAGAGGCGCGGTTTTATATAAACGATGGTATTTTTGGAAATTATTGAGAATGAGTGGTATTTTTTTTATTTTTTTTTAAACAGTGGTAGTTTTGGATTTTTTTCCAAATTTTTTGTAATGCATCAAAATATTTGCCATTTTTATGTATCGTTAATAATTTTGTAATTCTTTCTTAGTTAAAATACTAAAATTTTGGAATGTAGACATCAATGTGTTTCTTTCAAGCCAGTATCATGTTGTCAAGTCAATATTACTAACAAAATTGCTAACTAGAAGTTAATATTTGACTAATTATTAGTAATTCAATAGGTTTGGTTAATGAAAAAAGAATGTGGAAAAGGTGATCAATGGTTGGCCGGCTGATGTGACATTTTTTAACTGTCACGTCAGAATATTCCTTTTAACTGAGTGCCACGTCTGACAGCTCACCATCGTCAAACAGAAAAGTTAACATTTGACTAATTAATAGTATTTCAATAGATTTTGACTAATAAAAAAGAATGAAAAAAAAATTTGGCTAATAAATAGTCACTACCCTAATTTGATTACAAAACGTGTTTCAAACATGATTTCGGAAGGGAAAGAAATGGAAAGGGATGGAGAAACATGACTCAACATAAAGCGCTTACTACATTGGACACAAATTCTTTGTAAAATTTTTTATATAAATCAGATCAGTACGATTGAATCCGATTCAACCAGTGAATCACCACTCAATTGCTTAATCAAGTCGATACTCATGACAATCTTGTTGCGTAGGTGTAGCCCATATAAAACGACAAGCCACCCACCACACCACCGCAACAAAAATATCCCATCCTCTGTTCGTTTCGTTTGCTCCACTGGACAACAGATCAGACTATCGATGTACATCTACTCCGTCAGCTCCCACGGAAGATTCTAGCTTGCAAACGTTTAACAAACAGAAACTCTTCCATCTCTAAAAAGAAGCTCCACCGCTCACGTCCCACCTGTCCAACACAGTGACAAAAAGAAGATATTTTTTCTTTTGGATTAGTACCGTAATTTGGCCAGGTATTAACCATTTCTTTTTTATAATTATCCCTCTGTTCGGTTCTGCTTTTGGGCGCTGTTTCCTTTAAATTGGAGAAAAGGTTGAAGCTTTCTCTTTCTCAATTTCGTCCCTTTCCTTCCTTCTCATCTAGAACCCACCCTTGAATCCGCGAGAGAAGAGATGGGTATTCTCGATCACTTCTCCGAGCTCTGCGATTCTGGCCCCTCCCATGACAGCAAGAAGCTCAAGCGCAAGCAGCTACAGGTACTGAAACTGGAATTAAAGATAGAAATCCTAGCCTCCTAGTCTGTTTTAATTCCCACCCGTTGGGTCACTGATATTCTTTTTGCCTTTTGTTTGGGGTTTTGGGGCAGACGGTGGAGATCAGGGTGAAGATCGATTGCGAAGGTTGCGAGAGGAAAGTGAGGAGGTCGGTGGAAGGGATGAAAGGGGTGACCCAAGTGGAAGTGAATCCCAAGCAGCACAAACTGACGGTAATCGGGTATGTGGATCCCAACAAAGTCCTGCACCGCGTCCGCCACCGGACGGGCAAGAAGGCGGATCTGTGGCCCTACGTCCCCTACGACGTCGTCGACCACCCGTACGCGCCTGGCTCCTACGACAAGAAGGCGCCGCCGGGTTATGTCCGGAACGTGATGTACGACCCCCACGCGTCGGCGCTGGCCCGGGCCACCTCCTTCGAGGTCAAGACCACTACCGCCTTCAGCGACGAGAATCCCAACGCCTGCTCGGTCATGTGAAGCCAAGGATTGTTGGGTGCTGCTGTTTTGTTTTGTGTATTTGGGCAAGTCTGTGTGGTGGTGATATGCAAGAGTAGTTGTGATTGTGAATGGAGGGTTTTGCTTTTGGTCTCTCTTCTTTTCCTGTGTTTCTTTTTCCTTTTTGGTTTTGGCTCCCGCTTGGTTATTTGGTTCTTACTTTTATGCTGGTTTGTTTTTGTATTGTAATTCGCTGTACAGAGAAACCTAATTTTAGTTTAATTTGTGCATTCGTTGTGATTGGGGTGTTGAAAGTTGCTGCTTATTCTTTTTTAGGCCATTCCTCTTTCTAAAACCAATATGAACGACGCATTGTGCTGGACATGTGACGATAATGGTATCTATACTGTTGAGAGCTGGATATTTTTTTGGAGCTTGACAGGTCGATGGATGAGGAATCACAGATTGAGTCCCTCTAAATCTAGAAGCTGATCAAGTGTGGAAGAAAATATGGAAACAAGTGTTACCAGGTTGGAAAATCTTGCACAATATCCTCGCTGTTGGTGAAAGAATCAGTAGGAAAATCTAAACAGCAGGCGAGGAGTGTGTGAACTGTGGTATGACTGAATCTTTACAACACCTGCTTGTGGACTGTATTTGGGCAGCTCGTAAATGGAGACAGACGCCTGTGGCAAAATACTTGTATCTGAAGAGTGGGTTGCAAAGGTCGTGGAAGTGGCTTCTGAGAATGATTTGGGACGTGTTTGCGCTCAAGGGAAGAAATAATTCCCTGCATAATAATCCTCTGATGCATGATTGGAAAATATTCTCAAAATTAGGGTAGTTCGGTTACCAGTTGCCGGTTAACCGACGGTTAAAACCGATAACCGCTGATTATTGGATAATCGGTAACCGTCGGTTATCTGATCCGGTAACCAACGAACGATGATTATTTGTTTTCGGTCGCTTGTCGGAGGGCAGGGGAGAGGGAATGGTTAGCCGGTCCGATGGTTAAACTGCAACCGACCAAAATCCAACCATATTCCCAATCAGATGGGTTTATCCACGACTTCTTCCAAGTTCAGGGGAAGGAAGAAAACAGCAGGAGCGTCCGGAACAAGAATAGCAAATGGAGCAACCCCCAATTGGTACCCTCAAAGTTTACACGGATGTAGGATTCAATTGTAGAGGTGAACTGGGGCTAGGATTTGTTATCTGTGACTAGAATGGTAAGCTAGTCTTAGCAGAAGCGTCCAAAGAAGATTATGGCTGGTCTCCTGAAGTTGCTGAAGGGAAGACTATGCTTTTTTGCTAAGAGCAAACATAGAACTTTGGACTGGGATCTCTCATGGTGGAATTGGACTGTAAGAGACTGATTGATTACCTCAATAGCGAGGAGCAGGGAAGGACTGAACTTAGTAATGTTTCCCAGGACATCAGGCATTGGGGAGAACAATTAGGGAAGCAAACAATATTTGCTCATATAGTTCCACATTTGTTCCTAGAAGGCCCCCCTAAGCTGTTTGTACCAGATGATATTCTAGACTCTCATTTCTGATGTAATTGCTATTGAAGCTTCTCTTGATCTTTAATGAAATATTCACTAGTTGAATGTTTAAAAAAAAGAATTATGTTGATGAAGCATTCAAGTATATATACAAATTTTCGTACCCAATAAAGAAATGGCTAGTGATGAAGGTTGAATTTAACCGCCTTTTATTTGGCTCATGAATTATAATGTTGCATGTTTGCTTGTAGAACTAATTAGCATGGAAAAAGTGTATACATGTATAACTAGTGGCAATGGGGCAGTGCGATTCAACCCACTTTTACATGTTATTTGAAAACAATACATGCAAATTTTACTATTTTACGATAAAACGAAGGGGAAAACACTTTAAAAAATGAAGAATATTGATAATAGAATGGCTAATTGTGTCTAACAAGTTGAAAGATTAACTTTAACTAGTTGAAGAAAAGTCAAAATAGGATAAATATGTATAGATACTGTTGGGGTACCACTAGAGGGGCCCAAAGAAAGGCCCAAGAGAGGGCCCATTCAGTCAAGAGTAGCCTTATGCCATTATCCAGCAGAAGAAGCCCGCAATGGGCCCGCAAAGCCCACTCCATACCAAGCATGAGGAAAAAGCGCTAAAGGCCAAAGAAGTCCAGGCTGGCAAATGGTCCCCCGCCTGTAGGCGCCTGCCAGTCGTCAGAAGCCTGGCAAGGTGGTTGAGGCTTCTGACAGGAATGTGAGTACAAAGCATTAAATGCGACGATGACGTGGAGGAGATCCACCTCGAGCTGGGTGAGTATAAATAGGGGCAGTTGGTAGCATTTACACAGGTTGGACTCTCTCACTAAAACTCATTCTCTAAGCACTTCTCTCTCTAGGAAGAGACTGACTTGATCGTCGGAGGGCTAACGGGCCCTGGCGCCCTCCTTTGTGTTCGTGTGTGTAGGCAGGCGCCAAGCATTGAGGACGTGGTTTGGTAACGAGGCGTCAAGGCATAAACAGATACCATAAGAGATTGAGATAAAATGAGCAAAAAACAGGACGAGTCGGAAGTAGATACCCATGCCCCGCCCCACACTATTGCAGGTCGGGTAATACCCGACCATCACAGGTCAGGTCGAGTAATACCCGTGAGGCGGGTTCAAATTGCCATCACTATGTATTACCAGTGATTCGGGTCCAATTGTACACATTTGCCCCTCATTTCTTGATAGTGTGACTTTGCATTTCATCGTCCCTCGACATATTTCACACTAGGTTGTGCTTCTTTTGATACATTTCAGGTCCTAGCATGTGTGGAAGGGTCGAGGACGAGTTTCGGGACGGTTGGAGGTCAAAAAGCGCAAAAACCGAAGAAAAGTCCAAAGTCAACCGTGATAATTGCCCCGTGACCGTAAAGCGCAGGCGTACAGGAACCAGCCGTAGTTCACAGTAAGAGCTGCGAGTTCACGGTCGCCAGGACTGTGAACTGGAACCACAAATCGTGCGTCCAGAGGGGTTTCTGAGGTTACTGAGGCCAAGGCAGTTCACGATCGCTAAGACCGTGAACTGGAACCACAAACCGTGAACCCCAGAAGTGAAGCGGTGCGTTTTGATCCAGCTCACTAAATTCACAGACGCGTTATGATGTTCACGAACGTGAACTGGGCGCGACTGGGTATAAATAGAGAGCTTAAAGGAGGAAGGAGAGAGCTTTTTTGGGGGGGGGGGGTTTAGTTTCAGAATAAAGGAGGGTTTCTAGTGGGAGATTAGGGTTTCCTCTTCCTAATCTAGAGAGAGAAAGTGCACTTCAAAGGAGGAAGAAGGAGATTTGGGCTCATTTCAAACTAGAGGAGCAAAGGTTTCTTCTTGTCAAGGGAGATTCAAGCAACAAGGAGGAAAGATTTTCATCTCTTCATGGTTCTTTCTCTCCTTTTTCTTGTTTTCCTTTGCCTAGCTATGGAATAGCCTACCTATTCACTTGGGTGTTTGTAAACTCTAGCTACAATTATGTGAATGCTTGTATGAATTGAATAATTTGTGTGTGGTTGTGTTTAATGTGAATGTGGAGGTATTATTCATGAATGATTGTGTTATGTTGTGTTGTGTGAAAGCCTATCAATCTAATTGCCATTCTAACCTAGGTAGAGAGAAAAAAAACCCCCTTCCTTTCTTTGAAAGAGGCTTGAATGTTGGGTTTTCTTGGGTAAGTCATTGCCTCCTAGTTAGATTAACGCAAGGCAAACCTCCTATTTCTTATTAGCACTTAGGGTTTGGTTGTGGGTGGCCGTCCGAACTCCAATTCGAGGGTGAAGTCTAACCATTTCTTAATCAATAAGTTGAGAGGGTCGCATTAGTGGCTTGGATCGTATCACATTTCTTCAACCTAGAGACTAAGAGGGTAGCTTTGGCTACTTGTTAGACTTCCCTGCGGTTTATAACCCCCTAACCACACACGACCATTCGATCCAACAAGTCATAATTGTTAGCTAGGGTGAGCAATACCCGGCTGAACTCTTCTCTCATTGGGACAATCTCGATTTACTTTACTTGCTTGTTTTCATTTGTAGGTTTCTTAGTTTTAAACCCAAAAACGTTTGCTAGATAACAAACTAAGTGATTGAAGTAGGGGTACATGGATCGGCTCGGGTTTGACAATTAAATACTTGCCCTATACTACACCCGGATAGAGTTTAAGAACTTGGGCTCTAGTCGGGATTAATTCTCGGTGTAGTTTCGAGCGAATCAACCATGTGCTACAGATTCTTTCTCAGGGCCGGTCCTGGGCCTCTGCTCGCAGGCCCGCTAACACAAGGCCTCAAAAAATTGGGGACCTCCCATTAATATGTAAGTAGTTAGTACATATTTATGTGGGCTTAAATTCTGCATGTTTAGTGACCAACCCATTCTAGAGAGGAAAAATCATATGGATATAAATTAAAGACTCACTTTATGATTAGTATTTATTTGCTATTTCTAGTAATAAAAATAAAATTAAAATAATTGTTGTCATTATTCATTAATCCTTACATGGCTACACTACAACCTCACACATGAAAAAACCCCATAATTACTCTAGGCATCAACACTAAATAGTGGAGATTCTTTTATCTATTGCTTCCATAAATAAAAGAGATCCGTTGGCCCAAATGCCATCCAAAAGCTTCTACAAAAGGTAAGATTGTTTATCAATTATAAATATATATAATAGAGCTATTAGCATCATCTAATATTCTACATTCCTATTATCATTTGTTCTCTCTAATTTAATTCCTCTTCATTGTTTGTATCTCTTGTTCAATTCTTCGAAAATGTTTCTCCCTTGTGGTTAATTTAGTACCCTCAATTTATTAAGGTGAGTCTAGTTAATTGACTAATTATTAATTTCGTTACTATTTGAGTTCTTTCGGTTTCAATTTATTTTTTTTTTGGTAGGAAATTTGTTTGATTTAGTATCTCAAGTTTTTCATCTTCTTATTTAAGTCATTGTCAATTCATCAATCATCATCTTCCAGATAGGAGTCATCAATAATTAATCATTAGTCGTCTATATTCATTAAACAACCATCATGTTTGTGAAGTTCACTATCTTAATTTACTTTTTCTATTAATTATGCCTTCTAGGAAATTTGTGAAGTCATTATTAATAGATGATTTATTTAAAATAATACTAGACGACGGTAAATTATATTATTACCTTTGTAATCATTTTCAGAACTTATATATTTTTTATTTTTATTTAATACATTTGCGAAAAAAAGAAATTTAGGGTCACATTCTATATTTCCGAACAGGACCTCCGAATATAATAGGTCGGCCCTGTTCTTTCTTTTGGAATTACTATACATCCTTTAGAAGGATATTTGCCTACTCAACTCTTATGTTTTTGTTTTTATTCAAAATAGATAAACACGACAATAAACACATGCAACTATAGTACTATACCAACTAAAAAACAAAACCTAAAAAAGATCAACTACACTAGTTTTAGTCATTCAAAAGTCCTGCAAACTAATTTACTTTTGTGATGTTCGATTTTCGAGCACAAAGTTAGGATCGTCTGAAATTTGGTAAATTACAAAATGTATCGTTTGGAGCAACAAATGGCGTTTTTGGAGACGAAGGAGATTCGGTGGTTTGCGGGTTTGAAGATCTAAAAAATTTATGTGAAATCAAAACATTTTGCCAGCATCGGATAATCGAAGGCAATATTATGACCGTTTGAAGTTTTGACATATGTTGGGTTGTAGATCAATACAGTGTCCAACGATTTTGGAGTTAGGTCATTGGAGTCTCTTGTGATCTATCTGGTTCGTTCTTGTCTCTAGTGATCTTATATGGTTCGAGACTAGTTTGTTTTAGTTGGTCGCGATTTTGGCTAGGTCGAGACAGGTATCTAGGTCGCTACATACTGCAACGAACCGTCCCAAAATTGTGTAGTGCGGGAATTTTAGTATAAGTGTTGTATGTTGGAAAATTTTATAGTAATTGTAGTATTTTGGGAAAACAAATCCCCTACTCCTTTGCGATGCCAGAATGTACTTAACTAGCATCCAAGTCAATGATCATGCACTTGGAATGCACTTCTATGTCATTACTCAATGGTCATGAAACCAACTAATCCTTAGAGCATTAAACATATATTCTCTATTGTCAAAAAAAAAAAAATCATATGTTCTCAATTTAGAAGAAAATCCAAAGCCAAATGATACTTCAATTCAATGGTCATGCAACTTAATTATCATTACTTTATGTGTGTTATATTCTTGAACTAAATTGGTGATCACTAGATAAGATAAAAACAGGACAATCAATAACTTAGTCTTAACCTTGAGATTGATAAAATTAAACATCAAATAATCATACAATGGTTAATAGGATTCTTAAATTAACATTCCAGTCCTAAACAACCATCTACATGAGCTCGGGTTCAACTTATACAAATACAATGTGATCACCCATGAAAAGGGAAGGAAGTATAATAGAATGGGATGAGAGAGGCATCATTTTCTTGAATCCAATCTAAAAATATAGCTTCAAACTCCAAAGTTAAAGGCTTCCTCTTCTTCTAAATCCCCTCTCTTCTATTATGGGGAAACCACAACTATTTGTCTCTATTCTTTGGTGTTTATGCTATAAAATCTTCCTTCTAAAAGGTGATCCTTCTCTCTAGGTCGAATATGATATATATAGGTACATGGAGGCCTAGTTCACGAGCGATATTGACAAAAGTTCATAGCCGTTCATAGCTGTGAACTTTGAAACACCATTTCCTTGCCTTGAAAATTTTGAAGATCACAACTTGGGGTTCATGGTTGTAATAAATTCTCGCGGGCGTGAACTCATATATCGCAGTCTCCTTCCAACATGCGAAGAGACTTTCTGCTTCTCATTTTCTCTTTCTTGCTCGGGTTCACAGCCTGAACTAAAAATTCACAGTCGTGAATATATTTCTTTGCTTATGAACTCATATGACATGATAAACTTCTCGGTCGAGATCTTCTGCATTTCGACTTCAAAGTAGACTTGCGCCCTCTTTTCTACCTAAATGCTCGCAATCACTGTCTAAACTTGCTTATACCGAGAATGAAGCACACATAGGTTATAATGCAAGAATTTATGGTTTAACTATGCCCAAATGGTCATGAGTTCACCTGGAAAAGGAAGGTCGATATTATCTATATTAGGTGTTATCAAGGAGCATGTGATAATTTAAGCTTCAGAAGTCAGAATGCTTCTTCTTAGGCTTTGATGTAGGTTGTAGTATGCATCAAAGTAATAATTCTAGATATGCCTAAGGTCATATTCCATAGGTTCTTCTAATAGAAACTATTGTGTAACTAATCAACTAATGCTCGAATGGAATGCATAAAAATGATAAAATCGGTGGGCTGAGGAGCCCTACTTTTAGTTGGTCTTTTATTCTATTATGATTCCCTATCCATTCCACTAAAACATTCCAAATCGAGCGTTTTAAGTAGATCCATAGAGGCGGGAAGTGGGGGAAACAACAAAAAATTGGGTTTGGAAATATTGGCTTCTGTGTTATTTTGAATTTTTATTTCATTAATTTTCTAAAGACATGCAATTTTTATTTACTTTATATTAAGTGATGTGGAAAAAAAATCCACATCATATGCCACGTTGACGGTGGTCCAACTCTAGCTACAACATTCTCAATCGATGACCAAGTATAACCGAAGACCAGGTGTAGCATAGGGTTAGCAAGTAATACAATTTATCGAACCACGTGGATCTAAGCTTACCTTACTTTAGGTTTAGGGTTTGTTATCTAGCCAATCTACGATAGTGATTAAGAAGACTAAACTAACTAACCTAGCTAACCACTAACCTAGCTAATTACAAGGTGGGAACTCACTTAGGTTTGAATCCCCCTAGTTCCGTCATTTGATCGATGTTGAGTATCGCCCTAGCCCGATAGATTCACTACCCTACCGTTAGGAGGTTAACTCCCTCATGGCGGACCCGAAACAACGAAGTGATGGAGAGGTGGTGCTCTATTCAACCTAGGGCAAACCTATATCGTAGGAGATTGATCCAATCGAATCCCTCAAAGATTACCCGGACGATATAGACTGAGGAGTGGATTATCTCCCTCCTAGGTCAAAAGCTCAATTGATGTGATAAGGAATCAAAACTCAAGCAATTCATGAAAAACCATCCAACACTTAGATAATTTCAACAATCGGACATGAAATCTGTCACATACACCAACACAAACCCAAAAGCTAGAACCTAGGGTTCATCAACCTAAGAGAAGAGTGTTTAGTTCATATAGGGGAGAGAGATCACAATAAAAAGCACAAACTCTTTCTTCTTTAGCTTCTAGGGGTTGATCTTCAAGCTTCAATGGTGGGTGACCGCCTCCAAGCAAGCTCCAAGGACCCTTTAGATCTCTCTCTCTCTCTCTCTCTCCCTCTCTCTCTAAAAGTCCTCCTTTGGGGTTTTGGGTTGGAACCCTTGAAGGGAACCCAGAAATTCCAAACCCTAACCAAGCTCTCCCCCTTTTCTCTCCTAGTTCCTTCTATTTATTCTGCCCGAGTTCCAGCTTCACGGTCTGGATGTCACGATCGTGACATCGGATGCTTGCCCGTGATCACAGACAAATTTCACAGTTGTCTGCCGCCATTTTGGTCTGACTTCACGGTCACTAGGAAAAGATTACGGTCTGGCGACCTTGACAAGTCCTCTTGTCCGCGAGGCGTGCAAATCCTCCTGTCACGAGCGCATATAAATCTTCACGGTCCGAAAGACCGTGAGAATTTCTCCTAGTCCGTGATCTTGGCACTTTCTTCATACTTTGGCGCTTTTCGACCCCCATTTTTCCCAAAACTCTTCCTCGACCTTCCCACACGTGCTAGGACCTAAAATGATTCAAAAGAAGCACAACCTAGCGTAAAATAGGTCAAGGGACGTTATTTACCACGTCAAACTATCAAGAAATGAGGGGTAAAATATGTGTAAATAGGCCCAAATAAGACGTTCAAAACTTTCACTATTGACTATTAACAGTCAGCGTTAACAGAGACTAAACGTTGGGACATAACTGACGCAGAATAAAAACATAGAGATACAAGTGACATAATGTCTAAACTATGAGCCTTTTCTGATATTAGGCATGAAGTTATATTTTGTTAAATTTTGGCAAAATTCACCTGGGTAGCCATAACTATCGACTTTGTGACAATAATAGCCCCTTTTGGAGAGACACAAAATAGTCAGATTTGGATGGTGGTTTGACAAATCTAGCCATTTCGTTAAAAACTTTAACGACGTTAGAATCGATGGATACATAACCGATCGCTCGACATGTCTTGCCACGTGGACGCCACGTCATATTTTGTCGATACATTAGTATAGCCAAAACTTTGATACTAATGACTAATATAGCCATTTTTTTCAAAATTAAAGAAGTAAGGCATGAACAAACTTAATCAAAGGCAAAAAATAAGAAATCAAGGTTGGCAATACCCAACGGAGAGTTATCACAGAGTATGTTGCGCTTCCCATGACTTGATGAGGCCATAGAACCTCTCGTGTTACCATAGAGAGATAACGGCAAAGTGGACTCGAGAGGAGAGGGACGAGGTGAAGAAGGTGAACGCAGATGTTGATGGCACAAGAAAGAGGGTAGGGAAGGAAACTGGAGGGGAATCTTTAGCCCCCGCACGATCATTAACATTCGCTGTCTAGGACTTTTGAATTGGGTTAAGAGGCGATGAGATTTGGAGTGTGATGGAGGAATTTATGGAGGCGAGATTTATAGTTTTGACAATAATGGCCATATTAGTCATTAGTATCAAAGTTTTGGCTATACGAATGTATTGAGAAAAATATGACGTGGCGTCCACATGGCAAGCCGTGTTGAGTTGTCGTTGACGTGTGCGTCGATTCTAACACCGTTAAAGTTTTAAACGAAAATGGCTAGATCTGTCAACCTATGGGTAAAATACCTCGGTTGCCACTTAAATTTGAGAATTGGGGTAGACATACCACTTAAGTTTGAATAGGGCGTCGGGTACCACTAAACTCTATTTCATAATTGGTCCTTCTACTTTTCTTATTGTAAAAAAATTATTTGGACTTATGAAAAACATCATTTTTTATTGTTTAGTTAGAATCATCTTTTGAATACTTGATACCAAACCAATTTTTGAATAGAAAATTTAGAATCAATTTTCACTATAATTATTTTCAATTATCATTATGTGTTCTAATAATTGAACTATTCCATGTAACTAAACAATATTGTAGCTTTTATAGTCATATTTTCTTTTCTACATTTTCACCAAATGTGTAGCTTTTCTATTTTATTTATTACTTGGTTACTTTCCATCTCTTTTCGTTCTAATTTTTTTAATTAGTGTAATATTTTTAATTTTTTCTGATTGTGTTCCATTTATTTTTCTTTGATTTTGATGTATTGATGATCGATTAGATTCTATTTTAACTATTTCTAATGGTGCTTCTAATTGAATTAGGGGATTTAAATAAATATTCTTATATTAATTTTAAATAGTTATTATTGTATTCTAGTATATTTATTCTTCTTCTTGATATTCGTTTACTATTTTTACTAATTTATCTATTTTATTGATTTTTTCATTAGTCATTCTTGTAATAATATGTTTAGAAGGTTTTCTAATTATTATATTAGATAAAACTTGTTAAAATATAGTTTTGGATGTTTTTAAAAGTTTTGGGTATCAAAAAGCAATTAAAAGTTTGGGTTGGATGGAAAAGTAGACGATGCACATTTTGACAACTTTAATGGTACCCGACGCTCTATTCAAACTTAAGTGGTATGCCTACTTCAATTTTTAAATTTAAGTGACACTCGAGGTATTTTACCAGTCAATCTATAATCTAAAATCAGACTACTTTGTGTATTTCCTCAAAAGTAACACTTATGGTCACAATACTAATAGTCATGGGTATACCGTGTATTTTGTCTTAGATTTTCTCTGATATCAGAAAGTGGACGGACAAGATCACCCAAGCAACGTTATTGTGGAACTGGGCCGCAGTAGATCATTCCCCTGAGCCCAAGAATAGAAATCTACGGCATACCTGTCGTCTGTTGACGAACAGTTTGAGTCTCCATCGAAACAAAATTTCCCCATTCTTCTCCCCCATCGCTTACGAGTTACGACTGAGGCATCGTGTCGGCCGGTGAAATATACTACGCAGATGATCGCCGACGGTGTCGAGGACGAAGAGAAATGGCTAGCGGCAGGGATCGCCGGCCTTCAGCAAAACGCTTTCTATATGCATCGAGCTCTGGTAACCCCGCCGTTATTGTTCTCTCTGAATCAACTCGTTTTCTTTGAGGTTGGGAAATAACTCGAACTGGTCAACTAATCTGTGTCAAAACCGTAATTGTTTGCTCAGGATACGAACAATCTAAGAGATGCTTTGAAGTTCTCCGCGCAGATGCTCTCCGAGCTCCGGACTTCCAAGCTTTCCCCTCACAAGTACTATGAACTTTGTGAGTGGTCCTTCAGGATCTAGGTTTCTAGGCTTAGTTCTTCCTTCCAGTTCAAAGGAGACACCATGAGAAATCCCTTCTGAATTGTGATTTTCGCTTCATGTGGCAGACATGCGGGCGTTTGACGAATTGAGGAAGCTAGAGATTTTCTTCAAGGAAGAGACGCGCCGAGGCTGCTCGATCGTTGAGTTATATGAACTTGTGCAGCATGCTGGTAACATATTGCCTAGATTGTAAGCGCCAATCTCGTCGATACTATCTTACTATTGCTTAGTTAGATGAGATATAAAGGCATGCTACATTCGGTCGAATGTCTATGATTGTTATGCATTCTGTTCTCTCTGTCAGATCTCCCTTGTGCAAGCACATATTTTTTTGTTGGAGACTCTTGCATATGTAAATTCTGATGTTAATCATGAATTTTCTTTGAGTAAATGACTGTCAATCCTGAATTTTGCGTGATTAGACTTCCTTGGTTCAAATGCCACCAGCTTGCAGCTTTTTTTTTCTTTTATGGATTTTGAATCTCTTGAAGCTGATCTTGTTCCTCAAGTAAGCAAATGTCAATGTAATGAACCATCTATATGAATCAGTAGACTGGCATTGCTATCTGCCTATTGCCACTTTGTTCAAGTATTTGAATTGGTTCCTGTGGTTCAAAGATGTAAAGCATACTCAACGCGGTGGTTATTAAGTTCTCTTCCAAAGGAAAATGGTTCTTGAATTCATTACATAATATATGTGTAGTTATTGTACACAGCTCTGCAATTCGAAATCAGCCAACACTGTCATTTTCGTATTTGCTTACATAGTCTGCTTTCCAAATCATTTCAGGTATCTTTTATGCACTGTGGGATCTGTGTACATCAGGTCTAAAGAAGCTCCTGCCAAGGATGTTCTCAAAGATCTTGTGGAAATGTGTCGTGGCATTCAGCATCCTGTACGTGGGCTCTTCTTAAGGAGTTACCTTTCTCAAATCAGTAGGGATAAATTACCTGACATCGGTTCTGAATATGAAGGGTAAGCATATGGTCAGAGGAGTCTGTTGATCATTTACTTGGAGATTTCTTTTTCGCCTAAGTTGTGTGTGATCCTGTACGTGGGCTCTTCTTAGGGAGTTACCTTTCTCAAATCAGTAGGGATAAATTACCTGATATCGGTTCTGAATATGAAGGTTAAGCATATGGTCAGAGGAGTCTGTTGATCATTTACTTGGAGATTTCTTAACCATGTCCGGTTGGTTGATTGATTCTAGATAAGTCTAGTTATTGCCCAGATGCCTAAATTGAGGGACAATATGTTCTTGTAGAAGGCTTAAAAGTTATCAATGTGCTAAGGAAACATGGCATGTTAAGCTATAGATACTGCATATTGTGGATAGAGTGATTTATAGTATGTTCCAGTACTTTTCTCTGATCTTTTATGGAGTCATTATTGCTGAGTGATTGATGCCCGTTTGAACTCTTTCAGGGATGCAGATACAGTTGTGGATGCTGTTGAGTTTGTGCTCCAAAATTTCACAGAGATGAACAAGCTGTGGGTACGAATGCAGCATCAGGTTGGTTGAAAAATCTATGATTGCCTGCTCTCATGTTTGACATGCATGATTTCTGGTCATGCAGGTCTTATACTGCTTGTGAATCATTCATTCTCTGATACTGAGCTGAGGCTTGCTGTCGGGCTTTCTGGTCTGCAGGGACCTGCCCGCGAAAAACAGAGGCGGGAGAAAGAAAGGAACGAGCTGCGAGATCTTGTAATAACCAGTATCTTCTTAACAGCAAATTTCACTGAAGCACAGTTGGTTACTGCATGGGGTGTACTGACAGATGGCTTGGTGATTGTCCCCATGTTTTATTAGGTTGGGAAGAATTTGCATGTCCTCAGTCAGGTAGAAGGTATTGACCTTGATATGTACAGAGATACAGTGCTCCCTAGAGTCCTTGAACAGGTGCACTATTCACGTTTCTGTTCTTGTGCTTAACCTTTGTGGTGTGAGTTTACTTGCTCATTGATGTTCTTACTTTCTCAACCACTGAAGATTGTCAACTGTAAGGATGAGATTGCTCAGTTCTATCTGATGGATTGCATCATTCAAGTCTTTCCCGATGAGTATCATTTGCAAACTCTAGAAGTTTTACTTGGTGCTTGTCCCCAGCTCCAGGTATCCAAGTGGATATTAATAAATCTGCAGTCACCTTTCTTTTAGTACAGATTCAGTGATTCAGTTTCATGTATTGAGATTTAGTTATTTTACAATTGTTTAATTTTCATTTTCCAGCCGTCTGTTGATATAAAGACAGTGTTGTCTAGATTGATGGAAAGGCTCTCTAATTATGCTGCTTCCAGCTCTGAAGTTTTGCCTGAGTTCTTGCAAGTTGAAGCCTTTTCGAGGCTGAACAATGCTATAGGAAAGGTATTATTTCTGAATGACGTGTAACAATAGTAAAATTGTGATGCTTGTAAATGCTTCTCTTGCATAGAGGATGTTAAGTGGTGTGATTTTAGATGTTGAGAGCAAATATAATGGACTATGCTTGCTATGTTACAATGGAATAATTTTGTGTTGCAGGTGATAGAAGCACAGCCGGATATGCCTATTTTTGGAGCTGTTACGTTATACTCGTCTCTCCTTACATTCACACTGCATGTGCACCCTGACAGACTGGACTATGCAGATCAAGTGTTGGTATGTGTTCACATAGTAAATTCTTTTCTTCAGTTGTAGCGTGCACATACCTTACCCTCAAATTGAAACGAATTGCTTCCATGCCTTTGGTGGATAGGATCTGAAATAACATATACCTTAATATCAGAAAACCATTGTGATAATATGTGGAATTTAGAGAATTTCCGCAATGGTGGAGTTCATGCTTCACAATTTCTTTGGTAGATTGAGAAACGTGGTTTCGTGCATGTCATTAGAAATTCCTGGCGACTCCATCTCTCTTGAGTTTATTCGTTTGACCATCCCGATGCTCTAGCATGTCCTTGTACATGCTACTATTAGACAGCAACCTGGAGTTGTGTTGGTAATGGATGGAATACTGTTGGCACTATAATTGTACTGTGCTTGTTGTGAGACAAAAGTAAAGTGGACTTTATTTTGGGCTGATATGGTTCTCACAGATTTGTACTATATTGAACATAATACACGAATTATCGTTTTCAGGGCTCTTGTTTTAAGAAACTTCAGAGTGTGGGAAAAGTTGAAGACAACAAAGCTACAAAGCAAATCGTGGCGCTGTTGAGTGCACCATTAGAGAAGTACAATGATATTGTCACTGCGTTGAAGCTTTCAAACTATCCTTGCGTGATGGAGTATCTAGACACTGAGACTAGTAAAATCATGGCAACTGTAATCATCCAAAGCATTATGAAAAACAGCACTCGCATTTCTAGTGCTGACAAGGTTCAGTTTTTCCACTCCTTAGTTAATATCTTCCTTGTGACGGACAGTTCTAATGAGTCGATTGATCATGAATTCATTTAATATGTAGGTTGAGGCATTATTTGAATTGATGAAAGGGCTTATGAAGGATTCGGAAGGCACCGCCGAAGAGGTTATTTTCACGTTACTTGGTCTTGGTTTGCTTGAACATGTTGAATATTCCCCAACAGGCTCTACCATGGTGGCAGTTCACTATCTTCGTCCTATAAATAGAAACTTTGCGGCTGATTGGAATTCTGCCACTATGCTCTGTATAGAGACCTGTAATTGATTGTAGTGAACTATTTTCTGAATCTGATACTTATATTATGTATGTAGGTTGATGAAGATGATTTTAAGGAGGAGCAGAATTCTGTTGCACGCCTTATTCAGATGTTGATTAATGATGATCCTGAGGAGATGTTCAAGGTACTTTTCTGTGTGTTTGAATTATGTTGTATTCATTCTGAAAGGTCATTTCTTTTCATTTTCTCTAGTTTAACTAGAAAGTAATTTGAATTACATGCCTAAAAGAACCGGCACAAGATTTTGAATGACATGGAAGCTTGCTCAGAAATGTGATATTTCTTAAACCACTACTTGATTGGTGCAGATCATGTGTGTGGTGAGGAAGCAGATAATGACAGGCGGACCAAAGCGCCTGCCATATACCATTCCTCCCTTTGTCTTCTCATCCTTAAAGGTTCCGCCAAGCTTTATTTGTTAGTTTTGGGTTACTTAGTGCTACTGGAAGCCCAAGATTTGCTATCCTGTTATGCTAGCGTATTCACATCTTTGTTGCCTTGCAGTTGGTTAGGCAGCTGCAAGGGCAAGATGAAAATCCATTTGGCGATGAAGCGACAACACCAAAAACAATATTTCAGCTTTTGAACCAGGTAGGATTTTCTTCGAAGTTTGTCTGTAATGTCTATAGAACATGATTGTTTGTTCCTTGACATACCTAATTAGAGAGAGATGACCTTGTGACAGACTATCGAGGTACTGCTGACTATTCCAGCTCCTGAACTTGCATTACGACTATACCTGCAATGTGCAGAGGTATGGTTTGACTTTCTTTAGAGCATGTATCTGATATTTGACAGAATATTTGAAATGTCACTTCATCTTTTGATTTTCTCCGATGGTTAGGCTGCAAATGACACTGATTTGGAGCCGGTTGCATATGATTTTTTCACACAAGCTTATATTCTCTATGAGGAAGAAATATCGGTGAGTTTGATTCTTATTACGTCAAGGTTGAGTATCTTGTGTTCGCTGTTTGCATCAATATCTTCTTTTGATTCTGAGCTGGGTTTGCGGTGACAGGATTCCAAAGCACAGGTGACAGCATTGCATCTAATAATAGGAACCCTTCAGAGGATGCATGTGTTTGGCGTAGAGAACCGTGATACTTTGACTCATAAGGCTACAGGGGTAATGTCATTATACTCCGAAATCTAATCGGTTAAGGTTTGTGTCCATTAGCATCTGTTTTGGTGGCTGACATAGTTTAAATTTTGATTGGAGCAGTATTCTGCTAAGCTTTTAAAGAAGCCTGATCAGTGTAGAGCTGTATACGGGTGCGCCCATCTGTTCTGGGTTGACGACCAGGATAACCTGAAAGATGGGGAGAGGTGGGTTTCACTTTTTGTGTTATGCAATTTGTTTGTGTTCTAGTATATGGGAACTGACGCGCTTTATCCTTGTGGGTGTGAAGCAAAAATGCATTTCCTTAGGTTCTAGAAAAAATTGAGTTGAGATACGAGATTTTTAGTTCCATGTAATCTGTTTCAGCTTTTGGTAAAGTGACTAAAAGTCAAGGAAAAATGTGATTCATTAGGGTTCAGAAAAATTTAGTTGACGAGATATGAGATGTTTAAGTAATAAAAAAATAGATGTTTTATTAATAAAAAATAGTTTCGTTGATAGTTTGTTTAATTTTAAATTAGCACGTCAACTTTTAGACTTGACTATTGAGGATATAAATTATACAATCGACCGGATGTTTTAGCCTCAGCTACCTTCCCCCTTCTCAGTCCTTTTTGTTATAGGCAAATTGCAGTTTGGTACTTAAACTTAATAGATATTAAAATTTAGTACCTAAAATCAATGCAGTCAAAATCGCGTTTTAAAACTTAAAAACTTACGATTTTACGCTTCTAGTCACCAAAACGCCTTCGTTTCTATGTAAAAACTTTAGTGTATAAAATCATACTAAATTGCGTTTTGAAACTTAAAAACTTAAGATTTTACGCATCTAGTTCACTAAAATGCTTTATGTTTTTACGCTTTTACTTCACTTAATGGGTCTTCTTTTCATGAAATTAATTATATAAAGTAAATTTTAAAAATAAATTACCGACAATATGATACGTTTAAGATTAAAAGATACATACCAGATACTTGGATGCATTATGAACTTCAATAAAGTAATCTAATTCACTATCTAGGCTCTTCTCAAATTCATTAGCATGGAGGGGAAGGTGACTTTTTTATAAGATTTATATTTATGAACTTATTATTAATTAAGAGGCTATAAGTTGCTCTACTTTAGACATGAATTGCAAGTATTTATTAACTTATCTGAATTTTGTGCACTCATATTTTTCATAGTATATGTCGTACTTAACATATTTTTAGTTCTTTTACAGTATGCGTAAAAAACTTACGCTTTTACGCTTTAATTCTACGTTTTACGATTTTACCCCTTTTTCGCTTCTAGGTAGAATCGCGCTTTTGACTGCATTGCCTAAAATTATTTTTTTTATATAAGTTCTAAAAATACTAATGGAAAATTACATTTTTGTACCTAAAGATTTTATGTCTTAGATTTGATACTTCAACTTTTTAAAATTTACAAATAGGTCCACACGGGTGTGCCTCTAAATGTTAATAATGATAAATGTGCCCCTCCCATTATAATTGTGCTAAACCCTTGAAATAAAATATTAATCAATATGAAATGTTCCTATTTGCTGAAATTAGTGTTAAAATGGTGTTCATAAAAGCACTCTAACCCTTATAAAAAAAAAGCACTCTAACCTCAGCCAGAGTTACTTATTCAAAAGAGGCAATGTTCGAAATGTGGCTTTTCAGTGAGGTGGCTGTTAGCTTTGAATCATTTGTGGAATTAGGCTGAACAGTGGATCCTAAAAGGCTAGTTAGATTGAAGCGCTATATTTAGCTTTTAAGTTAAACTCTTCCTTAAGTAACTTCTTTTGTTTAACCTGAAACGAACACTCTTTATGTTCATGGTTGGGGTGGTCGGTAATCGTTGTTTTATGTTTCGTTATGTTCTAAACAGGGTTTTAATATGCCTAAAGCGTGCTTTAAGAATAGCCAATGCTGCACAGCAATTGTCTAATGCTGCACGAGGTAGCACAGGACCAGTCACACTCTTTATTGAGATTCTGAACAAGTAATCAATCCTCAACCAGCCTCCCTTCCCTCCCCTTTTGTTACATGTAAAGCACATTCAAAATCTCCTTATTCATAATGCTTGTTGCAGGTATCTCTACTTCTACGAGAAAGTAAACCAGCACATAACAGCGGATGCAGTGAACAGTCTAATTGAACTGATCACCACTGAGATGCAGCAAAATGACTCCAGCTCTAGTGCACCAGACCCAGTCGCTGAGGCTTTCCTTGCCGGCACACTACGTTACATTCAGTTCCAGAAACAGAAAGGCGGCACAATTGGTGAAAGATACCAAGTTATCAGTACCGTCAAAGAGTAGACCTACTGGCAACCCCGGTAGGCACTGTGCAAAATGTATTGTTTTTTTGGCTTTTGTTTCTACTGCGTCTTTCTCATGTTCACTTGTTGACCCTGTTTCTCCTGGTCAGAAGTTGAGTTTTAATTTTGCCCAAAGTACTGAATCATGCGCATGTGTAAACGCCTACCAAAGTAACATAACGCTCCACCTTTATGATGACATCGTGTTGGGGAAAAAGAAGATGAGCACGTAGTGTTATGTCAAAGTTTCTGTCTATTGTTGTGACAGGTTTGGTAACGGCAAAGAATGATATGGAGATCTTTTAACTTGACTACTCGGAATAGAGGTGTTAGTTCGGGTCGGGTTCGGTTACCCGAACTGAAACCCAAAAAAACCAGAAACCGAAAAGCACTAAAACCGAATCCGAACTCGATAAGGACTTGCGGGTTCCGGATACCCGAAACCCGAAAATTTTCTTATCGGGTTCGGGTTTGGTTAAAGCAAAACTGAAACCCGAAAACCCGAACGTCTAAGAATACAGGTTGAGTTCTATTCATTGGAAGTTTTTAGCCGAAACCCGAAAAACCGATAAGCAAAACCGAGCCTGAAACCGAAAGACTCGAAACCCGAAACGAACCCGAAAACCGAAAATGTATATAATCGGATCGGTTTCGAATAAACCCGAAAAACCGAACCCGAATGGACACTCCTACTCGTTTTTTTAGAGTTGTATGGCTTTTTGTGTAATATTACATAACTTGATAAGGAGATCTAATTGTTCACATATTGGAAGGATAAGGGATTTAGGACATAGCTAACTGGATTTCCTGGGCAGCTGCTAGCTATTATTTGGCAGTGTGTATTTTCAGGTGTGCTGTCAGTATACTTTTTAAATCTTTTACGAAAATTCAATGAACCATACATAATTCATTATAAATTGGATTTCAAATTTTTTTTTTTGCATAGAAATCACTTTTTTTTTGCGTCCTACAAGATGATATCAATTTTTTTTTTATGGTTAATCAAAAATTTCATTAAGCACCGAAGTTGCAAACCCCCTTTTCAAGTACAACTAGTACATAACCAAATCACTAACTATATGCTAAAGTATGTAAAAACAGCATCATTACAACTTCAGAGCTTGGCTGCGAGTATCCATTTCACTTCTTCAATCTTGCCAACTAGCTTACCGGGGGAGCAAATAACAACATCATGAGTTCTGCAACATCGTTCTCGCCATATATAACTAATACACATAGACCATCTTAACCTACCTTCACATTTTGGCCCTGTACTGCTGGACCATTATCGTACTGCCCAGCTCAAGTCTTATGACCAGGTGCTGAAGACTGGGAGCCTGCAGAAACGAAACAAGACTGTAGACAAAACATGTCTACTATAAGTGCAGTCAAAGAATAAGTGATCACGAGACTCTTCTCCACCTAGACAAAGAACACATGAGCATTCTCCAGCCAACCCCCAGCTTACAAGCTTGTCTTTTGTAACAATCCGATTCATCACAACAAGCCATAATAACATACTGTGTTTAGGACTAAATGGTTTACCCCAAACAGCCTTATGCCAATCAACTGGGGGGAGAGGGTTTCTTATGGTTTGCCAGAAAAGCTTAACATAATACTTAGGAAAAATCCTTCCATCCCAGACAAGTTCATTACCATTGCCAGAAATATGAGATCTTACCCCTGATCTGCATTTCAAGATTTTTTTGCCAAATCCATGTTCCTATTGATTGATCTGCAATATCCCATATTGATTTACGCTTCAATTTTGATATTGTTTGAACAAAAGAATTTTCAGGTTATTATATTGGATTTTTAGGTACTACTTACGCTTATTCAAACCTGTGACCTCCAGGTTGAAAGCCAGTGGTATTACCGCTAGACCAAACCCTTGTTCGTAGTGGTGCGGTATGATAGTGATATGATGTTATAGTATAATCTCTATAAATTAAAATAGTCGGGACTGTGAAAATTATTAATTTATAGTAGTTATTAATTAATCGATAAATTAATAATTATTAATTTAAAGAGGTTTTTCTAATGATGTACGCTCATCGTATCTTCCAAACATTTCAAGTTCATAAGATAACTTATCGCATTATACGTATTCGTTGTACTAAAATTTAATAGAAGAAAATTATGTATTCTTTCAAGATAAATATATTTGATGTATTCTTGTAGATGGTCTATATTCATGTTTTAAATAGCTTCCACCCCTATCTTCATTGAGCATACATTCAATATAATTTATCGAAGATATGATGAATGTATCGCGACACAAATGTTAGAAGAAATGGTGGCTGATGTCATTGGAGGTTCAATTGAGGATGAAAGAGATGACAATTCAACACCTGTGGAACCGGTCACGCGAAAGAAAGCACTTAAAGCATCATCGGCTCTTCAAAAATACTTGATGCAATTAGAGAAGACAACACCGGAGACTTTGTGTGCAATGAGGAAAGTTCAAGATGAACTTCTATTAGACTTAAACTTCAAGAATAAACAAACAACTATATATTCATATTTTTCTAGATTATCCTAGCTATATTATAAATTTGTAGTGAATTGTATTTTTATAATTTCAATTTTATTTTAGGTTTTGAAAGTGACTTGTTATTAAGTTAACGGTACAGTCAACACTTTTGTTTGCCACGTCATCAAAAATTTGATACGAAGTCTGACGGAGGGTGACTAACGTGAAATGAATCGTAAAGTTAGTGGTTAATATGAAAGAAAAGTGATTTGGGTGGCAAACGTAAAAGATTTATGTAATTTGCGTGACCAAACGTGTAATTTAGCCATTATTAATTTATATATTTAAATATACATGTATTTATGTAGGTAGGTTCTCAAAAAATATTATCTTATTATTTCAATAAATTATCTTATTTTTTACACTTCCCCAAGTCGAAACTGGAGAAATTGTTAATTTATACTAGGTTATTAATTTATCATTTATTAATTAAAAGAAGCTATACCATATATGATAGTGATATGATGTTGGTATAAAGTTTTATATTTGAAAAAAATAATTTGATCTCATCATATCACCGTCATATCATAATTTATCACTATGTTATAATGATTAATAGTGATTTGATGTTTGTGATATGATAGTGTTATGATGTGCCGTTAGTATGAGAATATTGATAAGATGATGATAAGACATATATGATAGTGTGATAATACTAGAACCAACAAGTCTTTTGAAGAATTTTTTTTCTTTCTTTCTCAAAACATAGCAAAATGATATCATTATGTAGATCTCAATTAATGTGTCATTTCTATGATTTTTTTTTTAAAATTCCAAGTTAAAACAAATGAGATATGACAATGATATGATGTTGCATTGTGTCAAACTTCTTTAGCCCCAAACTTGATGGATGGTTGGTACTCAATTGGAAAGGAGGAATAGGAATTCAATGCCGCAATGACTACAATTCAGCAATATGCACAAGAAGCAACAACCATAATCTAGAACACAAGCTCTCCAAACATTGATGTGCTAGCTAGCAATAGCAAGACCCTTGCAGGTAGCAGCAATATGCTTTTCAAAATCTTGATAATCGGATATGTTCTGGGTCAGCACATTCCCCACTATACATACCTTCCATTTTGATATAATAACTAACATGAACAACACTATTAACCCCAATTTGCCCTCGCCCTCCAGAGTAGCATCCTTGTAGGGTTCTTTAAACCCGTGAAAATTGCAGTAGATTCCACCACCGTAGCTACTACTTTCATTGTGGGAGATTTAACTTCCTCCATCATGCTATTCTCAACTATGAAGGCAGAAGAAGGAAAAGATGTTGCAACATTCTTATTTTCTTCTGTAATTGTCTCATTGAACCGTCCAAAATGGCTGCACACAACTAAGGTAAACTCACTCCAAACCAAAATTGGCCTAGGATGAGACCAGGTCCCAAACCAGTCATGAGCCATTCGCTCTAAATTGACTGTAACCAATCCGACCTACTTAGGGTTTGGAATAATATACAATCCTAACAAATTCTCACAAACTTTCTAACCCCAAGCTTTAGGGTTCTCACCAGACAAGGCATGAGAATTGGATAATTCAATATATTACCTTGATCACCATCGACGAATGTCATAAGTGATTCAATAATTGTATTCGTTGTAACACAGTGATGTGGGTGTTACATTTATAATCGAAGCTACCTCACTAATCACTCCGAACAAAACAAAGTATAACTAAGCTAAGGATGTAGTAAAGTAGCTCAGTCGTATTCCAAGGAAACAATAGACTTACTATTACTTTGCTCTGAATTACTATCTAACCGACTCGGAAGTTTGGGGTAGAACTAACTTACCTAAACAACCAACCAAGTGGTTGGAAGAAGGCTTGAAATGAGATGGTTTCCTAGGATTGAAACCGCCTAGATATAGTTGCTATGTTGGATTGTGGGATTGGATGCAGAACTCTCTAATCTGGGGATTTCAATGACTACTCTCCCTCCTCCTAACACAACCCACAATGACCCAATGTCACCTCAGTCTAATCTTACAAGCTATGGTTGCTCTTATAGTTCCTCTCAATAGCTTTAACCTATCATGCATACTAGAGACGCACTTCAATCAGAATGCGTGCGACTACTCTAGCGTTGTTCTAGGAAGGTATTCTTAGTAGGGGCTAGGGGTTGGGTCGCCACGTCCACTAAAGAAGATCATTCATCTATACTTAATCTTCTAGTTGGTGCTACCCAGTCTAACCCTAAAATTTCCACCTAGTGTTAACTTAGTTGTAGGCTAGTACGGAAGAGATTGGCGATTTATCCAAGCATAATTAAGCATAAATGAAAAATATATTTACTAAAACAAGCATATACATTCATAAACACACATACAAACTATAAGCTAGGATTCATCTTTCCTAGACAACCTTAGAGATTCAAGTCAGAGAGAGAGAGAGAGAATACAAACTAAGAAGAGGAGGGATGGGAATCATCTTTTCCTCCTTGCTTGCATCTAGTCCTTGCTGCTTGAGTGGATTGAATCTTCAATAAACCTCTCCCAAGGTGTTTCCCTCTCTAAAAACTGCACAAAATCCAAAATTTCTCACTCTAGGTCAACTCTCCTTCGCCAAGTGAAGAAAAAGGGGCATTTATAGGCTGCTAGTGCTGGTCACAACCTCGAGGCGTGACCAGCCTGGAACGGCTCCGAATCGACCGAAACTTCGGGTTTTCACTTCATCTTCAAGTTCCGAGATCCCAACCTCCATCATGAGATCATGGTTGCGATCTTTGGTGTCACGGGCATGATCTTTATCACGGTCGAAAAGCAACTTGGCTGCGATCCAAGTGTCAAAACTTTCCGCCCTCTGTTTGCTGCTTGCTGAAGTTCGAGCCCTCTATTCATGGCCACGAACATGGTCACCACCTGGTCAAGGGTTGTGACGTGGCCGTGACCTCTGCTTTTTCTCCCCTTCTTGCTCCTATGCTTCTCAATCGTGCTCGGATGAACTGCAAACGGTTCCCGATCAATCTTAGATGACTTTAAGTCTTGAAATTACATTAAAAACACTGGAAAAGCATAAAATACGACAAAGTCGAGTCGATTTCCCCATGAAAACCTTCATATCAAGCTAATCCATGCCAAAATGGATGTTTTGCAGATATGAACGAAAATAGGCTTAAACTAACTTGATATGTGGCCTAAACACGGTGATTTATCTCGCAATTGCCTCGAGAATAAAGGCCAAACAACACCTATTTTATGTGTTATCACACGACCTCGTGATGTATGGCTAGCCTTCATCTTGACATTTCCTCGAACAAGTGATGAGAAGACCCCTTGACCCGACGATAGTTCAACCGCAACAAAAAACTTTCTGGTGCCGGTTGGAAAGGAACCTTCCGATTTAGCTTTACCACTCACAAGTGATGCCAGTGAAATGCCTCGACCACCATGTTGATTCACCAACGGACCTTCCTCGCCGGCAACATTCCCCACTCGTCATTGTTGATTCAAGCCAGCCATCCATTGCAACATTTCGTCAAAAAGGCCCTCCAACCTATCGAAAAGTGCATTCACAACAGCTATCTGTTGTGATTGATCATTGACTAGGCTAGCTGAATCGTTCCACTGAGTGAAGCGAGAGCGAGACGGTTCTTCGCATTCTTCCAGAGCAGTGAGCCTAATTCTTGGGAGTATGATGATACTCGAGTATGATCAGGCGCTGTTCTCTTAACACTTGGCCACCCATAGGATTTGTGTTTTTTTTTTTTTTGGGTTCAATTTATCATTTAACAGAAACAAGTCCTTAATTTGGATATTTAACGCACAAGTTCTGGTTGTAACAATTTAACACCTGCGCCAGAGAAAAGAAGCAAACAAATAAACCCCAGATGGTTGGTATATGAATCAGCGGGGTATAAAACTCAAGTTGAAAAATCACTGAATAGAATAAAAAACAAAAAGAAGGAAACAACTTAACTTCTGCTCAGTGACTACAAATTTACTTTTCATTAACAACAGCAAGAAATGATCCCTCGCCGATGTTCCTTTCCTAGTCACTGAAATCTTCAATCCCATCATCAGACATCTCGCTTGCTTCCTCGAAATCGGTAATGTCAGCGCTTTGGTTTAACCCATGACCAGACGCTCTATTTCCTTGCAACCTTAACATGCTTGTGTACTCGATAGCCAAGCCTGTCAGATCCATGGAGCTGCGTCCACCATACGCCACAAACCTCTGTGTTCCAATCTGTTTCTGCAGCAACAACCAACAATATCACTATGAATATGAAACACTTGCTCAGATTGCCAGCTAGAGGGGAAATGTTTATGCTACGGAAGAAGAAGAAAAAATCTCCAGCAAAACACATAAAAGCACAAAATTCTGGCACATACTTTATTATCTAGCATTGAACGCTCCACCTGCCATAGCTTTGGCTTCCGAATGGAATGCCACCTGTGCGTTAGAAGGAGAGAGTTATAAATATCAAAGACTACTCTTGCTCTGGATATACCAAAACTGCTTGCAGCATAAGGTGAAGGACCTGCGAGGTGAAGGGTGAGCATTGCCAAATAACACTCCACGACAAGCAACTGATGCTGCAGCTGACTGAAGTACATTATGCTCCGCCTCGTTGTGTCTGGCCAGCAGTGCTCTGAAGGAAGACAGCAGCAAGTCTGCATCACTTAAATAAGTGGCTACTTCCCAGGCATCCTCCATCGCTTGATCACTTATGAAATCCAAATCTGCAAAAGAAACAGTTTGCTCTAAACCCCTTTTAGCTTCAACAAAAACAATGCAAATGGAATTTCATTTCCCAACCTTTATGTTTAGCATTAACACAGGTGGGTTGATGGAAATGAAATTAATGGAACCCACTAAGTTTTATTACCACTTTATCTTTTCACAATCTTCTTTCTGTCTCTTTTTCACATTTCTTTTCCCAATATCTAAAAACACATTTAATTATTTTTCACCATTAAGAACATAATTCATGTTTGTCAGAATTATTTCGAAAACCAGAACTGAAACTGGAATTCTGGAAAAATACGAATTTGAAATGAAAAATCTTTTTCCAGTAACATTTCTTATGGAAATATAGAGCCTGAAACATTCACAAACAGAAAACCAAGAAATCTTGTGTGAATGGATTTGTGGAACTATGCAGACATTCTGTGTCGAAGCAAGAGACAAAGATGATGCAGATGCAAGAAAGTGAACACAACATGTTGAATGAACTTACTATTTTCATGAAGAAAATCAGCAATTTGTCTTGCTTGCCCGTGTGATTGAGAAAGAACCTTTTCCGGAGCTTCCATTTGCAATGGGAACCTGTAGAACTTTTCCTGTACCAGAAATGCATCTTGGTCTGTAGTAACAAAATAAATAAACTCACTCAACGGCTTTAGAATTGGAATATCACATCCTTCTGAACCACATGTACGAGAATAAGCTTAAGTAGGAGTCCGAGTGGTTTAATAACACCCAACCTACCCAATGTGAGACTAACTTCAGTTTCTCTTTTGTTATAAAGAAACTTTCCCAGGGCATGGAATAACGAGAGAGTCTCGTCTTTGCCGAAAAGTGAAGAAACCCCATTGACCAAATCATCTATTTCTTCAGCGTTTACACTTGAGCAACTCAAGCTGGAACTGAGCAATGAAACATTTTCCTTTGGATCTGGCTTAACACAAAAGAGCTGTAAAGATGTAATTGCATGTCTGATATCACCCCCACTGGCTTTGGCTATCAGATTAATCTGATCTGCAGATACATTATATTGCTCCTGGATGCATATTCTGGTAAGCACCTTCTTCATTGAATTATGAGTGATAGGGTTAAACGCAACCTACAAGGGATAACATTTTTTTTTTTAAAATGAATTGGTAGAGGCACGCTGGAGTTCAGTTCAATCTATTGAAGAGAGTAACCTTACTAGCCCCAGCACTCTGAACAGAATTCTGAAGTTCTTCCAAGCATCGGGAAGCTTGGTCTGCTGAATCTTCTTTGCCACCGTCAGTGACCACGACAACAGTTGGTAGTTGAGCTGATCTTGTAAGAATAAGCAAGCAGTTTTGAAGCTTCTCCAAAGCAGTTCGTCCGTTTACCAAAGGAAGATCATCGATCAAGAGTACAAACAATTCCTTGGGTGCTATACTAATGGACGAAGGAAGTAACCCATATTTCCTTATTTTCTCAACAAAGTTAACAAATTCATCCAACTTTGAGGTGTATCGTATTCCTAGAACATAACAACAAAATACCAAGAACATCCAGTATCAGATTTATGAATCAGCATGAAGGCATACTAGAAATAAAGCTATTTGGGAGGCTAGAGCGTGTCTTCTGAAGTGTAGCATTCGATGATCAGAGATGACGTGGATGGCTGAGAAGATTAATTGTAGGCAAATCAAAATCACCTGTATCAGAATTATGCACATGCTCACGCCATGTTGTAGGGATAGGCGTGTTCCATTCATACAATGTGACTCCAAATTGAGATGCCATAACACGGATGGTTGCCTACATGACAGGAGCAGGATTTCCTTTTCAGTAAAGAAGTAATATTTTCCATTTAAGATTAATCAGTAAGATATCTGAATCCATGAGTATAATAGGACCATTCATCAGAAAAATTGACATGAGCAGGTTTTAGCAATGCATACTAAACTAATGACCACGAACTTACAGACTTCCCGACCCCTGCTTGTCCAGTTATGATGAGAACGTTACTCTCGGAACTCCCCTGCAAAGAGTTGAAGAGGCAGTTTCAAATTTGCCTTACTTCCAAAGAACTTTCTGGAAATGAAACCATTGTTACCTTCGAAGCGTTCAATTTTTCCTCAAACCATCTCTTAACTTCCTCTACCTGCAAGTATATATAATCACTTCAAACCTTTAGATGGCAACCCATAGGAAAGCAAATTGCAGCCAAGTGAACTGACCTTCTTCTTGTGCACAGCAAGTTCTTCCAAACCCTGGGGTTTATACTTATCCACCCATAGTTCACCGGCGTTCGTACTCCCAGAACCTGACACAAGGATCCTCTTTAAGTATAGTAGGCAAGGCAACATACAAACTGAAGTGTAATAATAATGAGCTAAACTAGTAACACAATCATAGCGTACCGGATGATACCTTTGACCGAGACAAGCATTGATCGAATTCTTCAAATGATAATCTGATCTGCAGAGGAGAAAGAACAAACCACAGTTAAGGTTTCTGCAGCACCAAACAACTTGGAGAAATGATTATCAAAGGGAAAATGTAAACAATCCCACGCCTCATCCACGAAGCTGGATTCTCTGCTCAATCGTGGTTGGGAACTATTCGAAATGTTAGGTTTCTTCTTCGTCGTCTTCGGTTCCCTAGGGTTAGTAAGAGTGAGCAACTGCTGCTTCGGTTTAATCTTCTTGTGGCTACGAGTCCTCCTACTCGACGACCTCGGACTATCTTCATCGTCATCCGATGATATAATCATTACGCTACTTCTTTTCCCCATCTCCAAGTAGAGCAGGACGGAAATTCTCGCACTGTTTAGGGATTTTGCATCAATGTGACATTAGAACACCACACAGTAACTGAGTTCCATGGCGATTCACTATGAGCTGGGAGCTCTCAAGTAACGGCCCTCTGAACCCGAGCTGGGCGAAACGATCTCGGGGAGATGACGGAGTGGGATGCTGCAGGACACTGAAGCACAACGGCGAGAAACAAGAGAAAAAGCAAGGAACGGAAGTGTCTCTGGTTTTCGCGGGGATTTTCCCAATAGCGGCAAAGAGTACAATGGAAGCAAACTAGGGATGCGCCGTTTTTGCGATTTTTTTTTTAATAACTCACCGACATTTGTTTGTTTTTTTTTTTCATAATGGGCATGGGTCTTTTATTAAAGCTGGCAAAATGCCAATACAGTCCTTCGTAAGAGTTTGAAGGATGAAAACAAGGGGGTCTATCTGCCCATACTTCAGTTTCTTCCCACCTGCAACTCACTCTTAGCCATTTGATGGGCAGCTCCATTGCCTTTCCTTTCCTAGAATCTCCAGCTTACTTCACCAAATTCTGACCTCAGCTCTCGTATCTCGGCCACCGCCACCCCCAATTCAGTTTCATTCACCTCTTCCCTGTCCAATTTATGAATCAGTGATTGACAATTCGATTCCAAAAGGATTGGGCTTCCTCTCGTGTCCCCTGAGCACCGCCTGAGCTTCTGCAAGCTCTGGCTCCCAATCCACCCTCGTTCGCTTCACCGCCGCCATTACAAATCTCCCTTCCTCGTCGCTTACCATCATTCCCGTTTTAGTTCCTCCCTCCTTCACGTTGGATGCGTCGACATTTACCTTCAGTTCCCCCCTTCTCGGCTTATCCCACTTCACCACCTGATGAGGTCCTTTCACCTGATTTCCCTTTGCATGAAGCTCCAATATTCCTCTAGGTAACTCTGCGATCTGGCGATTACTTCACTTTCCTCAAGTTTAGGGTTGTTGAACAAGTGATTATTGTGTTCCTTCCACATAATCCACTCATGATACCCAGTTTTTACAGTGTACTTGCCTAGTTTGTCCCGCCCCCACACACAAACGTCTGGTTGCTATCTTCTTGATAGGGGAATCTGGAAATTCTTACTCGATCCTTCATATGAAAATTAGACTGCAACACAGTGCTTTTCCAAATCCTTTCGGACATGTTCAATTAACTCAGACAACTTTTCATATAGTCCCAACAATGAAACAACGGATTCAACCTTAAAGTTGGGACTAGTTGGGGCCCATCTATCCCACTAGACACGAACCTATTCTCCATTTCCAATCCTGCACCTTATCCCTTCTTTCATTAGTGGTTGTGCCGCCATAATACTATACCAGATATACCTGGATTTTGTCATAGTTCATTCTCCAGAAAGTCACAATTTGGATAGCACTTGGCTTTAAGAACTCTACTCACCAACGGTTGAGGATTCTTAATAAGGTTCCAGATCTGTCTTCCCAATAGAGCTATGTTAAAACCATGAAGGTCTTTGAATCCCATACCTCCTTCACTCTTCGGTTTGCTTAGCCTCTCACAGTTCATCTAGTGAATCCTTTTTTTTTCTTCTTTCTTTTGAACCCATCAGAATCCTGCTATGAGTCATTGTAGTTCCTGAATCAGCCCCTGAGATTTGAGAAAATCAGACATAACATAGGTATTATGGGCTTGGGCAATGACCTAAATCAGTACTTTCTTGGCAGCATTGGATAGGGTCTTACTCTTTCACATTTTTACTTTCTTGCAAACTCTGTCGATAAGTTGTGTAAACACTACCTTCTTTGATCTCCCAATAGTAGTGGGTAGCCAAAGATACTTGTCATGATATAGGACTTGCTTCATTCCCAGAATGGTGGCCATCATTTCACGTTCTTCTTCCTTAACATTACAACTGAAAGATAGCTCAGACTTTGGGAAAATGACTTGCTGGCTTGATGCCTCCTCATACTGTTTAAGTATCCTTTTCATAGCTTCACCTTGTTCTCTTTTGTTTTCAAAGAAGAAAATACTGTCATCTGGAAAAAAAGAAAAAAAAAAGTGAAATAGCAGGTCCATTAGAGCTCACTTGCATTCCTTTTAGTTTCCCTTCCTTTTTATTGCCTTATTCAACAATGTTGATAGGCCTTCAGCACATAAGAAGAAGAGGTACGGGGAGATAGGATCTCCCTACCTCAGTCCTCTGGTAGGCTAGATAACGTCAGAGTGTGGTCATTAATGAGGATCGAATAGGATATTATTTTAACACATTGCATGATCAGATTGACCCATCTAGTGTCAAAACCAAGCTTTAAATGTCATACGCCTTGGCAATGTCGAGCTTGGTAGCTACAAAACCTTAATTTCCCACTTTTATGTTCTTCATGGCATTGAAGCATTCAAACTCCAACATTACATTGTCTATTATGAATCTCTCCGGGACAAACACACTTTGGTTCTCTATAATTACCTCATTTAGGATACCCTTCAATCAATTTGCTAGGACCTTGGAGAGGATCTTATATAGAACTTTACAAAGGCTAATAGGCTGAAACTCCATTGGAGTCTCTAGTGACTTGGTCTTCAGAATAAGTGCCAACAAAGTTTGGTTGAGACTTTCTAGAATCTGGCCACTCTCTAAATATGACTGTAATTTTGTAGTGACTGCAGGTCCCACAGTTGTCCAATTCTTGTGGAAAAATAAAGCCGACATTCCAGCAGGGCCAGGAGATTTCAAAGGATCCATGTGCTTAAGAGCTCTCCAAACTTCATTTGCTTCAAACAGTTTCAATATGTAAGCATTCATCTCAGGGGGTAACTTTCCTCTTTACTGCATTCACCACCTCGTTCCCGTGAGAATTTGGTCTTGCTTTGAATAGGGTCTGATAAAATTCCAACATGATTTGAGTTACGTTCTCATGTCCTTCTTGAAGATACCATCCAAACCTTGAATCTTGGAGATCATATTCCTTTTTGACGATCAGTAGCTTTACGGTGAAAGAAATTAGTGTTTTTGTCTCCCTCCTTTAGCCAGTCTGCCCGAGAACGTTGTTTCCACATTAATTCCTCTTGGTAATACAGATCACTAAGTTCTCGTTCAAGAAATCTCTTTTGAATCACCACTGCCCTGATCTTTTATCTCTTCGATCTGATTTGTAAAGCCCTCTCAGTCTTTCTGATTCTCCGCTTAATGTTTCCAAAAGTTTCTTTGCTCTATTTAAGGAGTTTGACCTCGCAAACTTTGTTCCCAACTTCCATACTTTTGCCCTAATACTTTTGCCATTCTTCAGCTATTATTTGGGAGCAGTCTTCATACTTTTGCCAGTCGGCCTCAAATATGAATTGCCTCCCCGTTGTGGTTTCTCCTCCCATGGATACAACTCAATGCTTATTCGGAGGTGATCTGAAACCCATCTTTCCAAGTGGTAAACCTGGGAATATTTAAATAACTCTTTCCACTTCACGTTTGCAACAACTCTGTCCAACCTCTCCTCCAAAAAGCCTCAATCCTCTCTCCCATTATCCCACGTGAAAATATTGCCAAAGTACCCCAAATACTCATAGTTACATGCATCCAAAGCTTCTCTAAATTCCTCCAGATGATGTACGTCAGGTGGTCTGATGCCATTCTTTTCTTCCTAACCTAGAACTTGATTGAAGTCTCCACATAGGAGCCAAGGTAGGTTTACCTGCCTGTGCAAGTATCTTATCAGTTCCCATGTCTTTCTTTTCTTTCCTTAGTAGGACCATCCGTAAATTCTAGTAAATCTCCAGTTTTAGCTGCATCTATCTCCTCAACTAAAACATCAATAAAGTGTCAAGTCAGGTCTTTCACCGTCACCTTCAAATTCTCCATCCACATCAAAAGAAGTCCTCCTGCTCTAACTTTTGAACCAAATCATTTTCCTCTCGTCCATCCCAAATCAATCATCACTTGTTCCCATTCATGTTCCTTTTTTTTTCATCAAGAAATCAAAGCTGGAGTCCTTCTTTCTAAGTAGCTCAACTACTCTCTTAACTGTTGTGGGGTTCCCCAACCCATGACAGTTGTAGCTTAGGACCCTCATTGGGTTTGCTGGCTCTGCTCCTTGGCATAGCCCGCCTCATTGTCGTCCATGTATTGAATTTTTTGTTTCTTTGTGTCAATGTCCATGTCTACTGGTTGATTGTCACCAATATCTCGCGTATGCCCTCCTAACAATCCTTTTGAGCATTCCTATGAATGATCTTTGCTGTGTAACTGTCGTTTCCATACTCCTCCTGATTTCGATGGTGAAGGAACTTGTGACATTAGATCTGTCTCCTCAGGATTAGTGTCTTTCTTCTCTTGTTCTGTCTTTGAACCTGTTGTAGGATTGGTAGTTCCTGACAAACCCATATATCATTTATGCATCTCACCACTTTCAATCGCTTCTCTTGTATTCCATAGCTTTTATGGGGTTTCTTCCCTCTCATAATCATCCACATGGTCATTTTTCTCCCCCATATGTTCTAGCTTTTCTGACTCTGTCAGCCCTGCAACAGACTCCTTAAAAGGAGTTACTTCCTTCGCCACTACTACTGTGATCTGTTGGGTTCCTGCAGGTTGCAACAATTGTGACGTATTTCTTACTAAGCATCAACCACAATTTAGATTCCTTCTTACTTTCTTGTTCCGACAGCCTTGGACCCTTTGGGAACGGTCCTGCCTTAATCCAGTGTCTATAGGCATCTTCCTTTAGTGGATCATGCACCCTGCAAAACCTTTTTGGATGCCCAATGACCCCACAGAAGAAGCAGAAAGTGGGAAGTCTTTCATAAGTTGTTTCAAACTCATTAAAACTTCATTCAATATTCAGTTTGATGCCTTTTCTTATGGGTTTGTGAATGTCCTTCGCCACACGGAAGCACATGAAAGTGCTCCATATAACAAGAATCATCCAAAACTGCCAACAACTTTCTCAGCCATATCCTGGTTTCGATATGCTGGTGGGATGTCCAACACTCGTATCCACACCTCCATCTTGTGTAGGTCTTCTAGTCGAGTCTTCTAGTTCATATATGCTTCTTTGAAAATCGAGAGATCTCCATCAAAATGCCAGGGGACCTCCAAACCGCACCCTATTCCGATCGTCTATTTCACTAAATTGAAAAGGAAATAAGTTTTCCTCAATAGGTTTGATGGTAAACTTTTTCTTCAGATTCCATGCCTTCGATAACGCTTCCTGCATATACTTGATGTTAGGGCTTCGTGACGCCAAGAGTCTTCCCACTAACCCTAGTTTTTGGATAGTAATGTCTATGCCTTTCGTTTTATCTTTCGCGTCTATAACCAATGGTTCTTCATCTTCTTCCTCGAGTCTTATTCCCTGAAGTTGACGTTCAATCTCATGTTCCACAAGATTGTTTTCTGTCGATGTAGCCATCTTACTTCTAGAACACGTCACGTTGAACTTGCACAAGAATGGTTAGAAAAGAACACTCCCTCACTTTCCTGAACACCTGATGCAATTCAGTGATGCGAGACCCTTAGGATAGAACTATGCAATCCCCAGGAAACTCTCTCTCGGCTCTATCAATAAGCTCAGATCAAAGGAAGACAAGTACAAGCGCTAGGGTTTTCGGAGAAAAACCTAATCTCTGACTTTTCTCTCTGAAAAACTCTTAGAACGAGAGAATATCGTTACGATATTATTGATTCTGGCACCAATGGGATGCAAAAATCTTTGTTATTCATATTAACTTAATATAAATAACAAATGTTTTTTTTTATTCTATTGGTGTATAAGAAGAGCATCCATATTGATATTGCATTCTCAATTGCAAGATGACATAGGTGTTTGTAATTGCAAAACCAATTGCATTGATGTGGCTGCCAATTGCATATTTGCAAACTTGCAACAAATGAAATTGCATATGCAAGTAAAAATAAATGGAGATTTTTTATTTTATTTTATTTTAATTATTTTATTTTCTCTTTTAGTTTATTTTATATGATCTAAACATAACATTTAATTAAATATGCAATTGCAAGTTAACTGCATTGATGTATGTGAATAGGAATGGGATGGGAGGCTAATTGTATAATAGGTTAGCACAGTACTAACCCCTCACATCTCCATTTATTTATTATTTTGATAATCGAATGGTAATTTAGTTATCAAGGTGTTTTTGGGTAAGATTGCACTAGATTCAACCCTAGAGAAGTAACGTGTACAGATATATAAGAGTGAAATAAGGAGAGTCTCTCTCATCCTTTCCTCTTTCATTCTATTTCCCTCCTTTTCTTCTCCGATCTCCTCTGTACTTTGTTCTTTTGAACTATTTAACTACCCAATCGCCACTCTTGCCATCGATGCATTTGTCGTCCTCAGTACTTCCGCCGCTATCATCAACACTATCCCGAAATCTTTTTTTGCTCCGTCAAGACACTCAGTTAAAAAGTCGCTGGGTGCCCCAATCTTTAACACAACTCCTTTTTCCCAGCTCCATCCGTCGATCGATCTCTTCCACAAACACCTCATGCAAGTTGAACTATGAAGTCTAGCCTCTTTAATATTTTAAGGAGAGCTTTTCTTCAGCTTTTTGTTTTCTGACTCTTTGATCTTCACATGTTACTATGATTTCTTTTATTTGTTTTGCACATACTTTCTGTAGATATGATGTGGAGACGAGATCTACGTTTAAATTGAAAAATGGTTGGGAATTTGGGATCAAATGTAGATATGATATGAAGACGACAACCCGATAATAAGTCATATTGTTTGGAGTGAAAATGGCATCATAGTGCATTTCTGATTTGTGGATGTGGTAACCATTTCACTAGGACTAGTTTTGGTTTACAGTAGTAGTATTTCACGGTAAATTAAGATTTTGTGGTCATGCTTTTTTTATTTGTTGGTTTAACGCCGTAGCAATTTTTTATAGTAGTATTGTTTTGTAAAGTGGAAGAGGTAGTGATTGTTTTTAGTTTTGTTTTAGTTTGCAAATGTGGCCTCCTAAAATCACATGGAGTGGAAGAGAAGAGATTATGGAGTTGTTTTTACAAAAAAATGTATACATTGTGAGATTATTCGTAGTAGTGGTTTTGTAATACTAGTGTAGTGATTTTATAATAGTGAATTTTTTGGATATGATGGTAGTAGCAATGATTTTATGGATCGTGCATCTATGGATATGTTATAGCAGTGCTTCTTATTATGTATTAGTAGTGATTCATGATTATTGACAATAAAAATCTTTATAATTATATTGATTCTAAAAAATTATTATCAAAATCACTACTAATAGAAATCATAAAATCAATAGTTCACCCCAAATTAGTACTACAAACCTGAAATCATAAAATCAATAGCATGGTGCTAACCTCCTGTAGGGTTAGCCCCATATATGTTTCCAGGTGAATAAAAGTGATTTAAGGTGTATCTTTAAAAAAATGAGTTGGCAATAAAAAACACAAATGCAGTTGCTTTTACAATTGCATTGGTGTGGATTCTCTAAGAGCATTCACATCAACCTATCATTTAATTGCAAAGTGATGTGGCAATAGAAATGCAATTGCATCCTTAATTGCATTTGTGCAAGCTACCATAAAATGCAATTTCATTTGCAATTTCTCTCTCTCTTATATATATTTATATATATATATTTTACGTTTACATGTCATAAACAAATAAAACAAACTTTTATTTTATCAAATAATTATTTTAAGCTCACATATGCAATTGCAAGTTAATTACGTTGATGTAAGTGAATAAAATTAGTGTTAGTTGGATTGCAAAAAAGTTGAGTTGGCACTTGGCAAGAAAGAGCACAAATGCAATTACGTTGGCAATTACATTGATGTGAATGCTCTAAAAGCATTTACATTAGTTTTGCATTTTCAATTGCATGATGACATAACATAGGTTTTTGCAATTGCAAAATCAATTGCATCAATGTAGCTACTAGCTACCCATTGCATATTTTGCAACAAATGCAATTGCATATTCAAGCCAAGATGACCTAAAAAATAGGAATTCTTTCTTTTCTTTTCTTTTGCCTTTATTTTAAAAAAATTTATACATAATATTTAATTACTTATGCCATTGCAAGAGGATTGCATTGATGTAGATGCAATGATATTAATATAAGTTGAATTCCAAAAACATAGAGATGACAATTAAACCCTAGTATGCAATTGGTTTTACAATTGCATTGATGTGGATGCTTTAATTCAAACTAGTGAACATGTGGTACTTGGTTCAAACTCATGGTTAATTTCTGGTCTAATTAAATCCATTATGAGAACAACCACATCAATGCAATTATAAAATCAACCGCATATGATGTTTTTATTCATTTATTGTCATCTCAAACTTTATGCAATACAACTAAACTTCATTGCATTTCGCCTACATCAATACAATTCACTTTTTTTTTATCGAAATTCAATTCACTTGAAATTTCATATATGTGAGTTTAAGTGAATTTATAATAAATAAAAATTAGGAGAGAATAAAATAATTATTTTCCTATATGGCTTTCATCTTCAATTTCATTTAATGCAAGTTTTCATCTTTGCAAGTGACAACTACATAGTTGCAATCCCCTTTGCATATTGAGTGTCGTGTATTTGCAATTGAGCAAATACCATTGATGTGGATACTCTAAGGTATGGTGAAGTCTATATAGGTTCGCGTTTTGTTAGATAAGTTCGGCTAGGGTAGGCTGTGGGCAAAGGGCGGAGCTAGAGTGTTAGAGAGTGGGTCCTGGGACCCACTTGTACATGGGCAATGGGCCGGCCGTCCACGGGCTAGCATGACACAACACGTTTAGAGCACAACACGAGCACGAACACAAAATATATGGGCCAGCCCGGCACGAGCATGTATAATTTATGGGCCGTGTCGGGCCTAAACTTAATGGGCACGAGCAAGGGCACGACACGGTATATAAATGGGTCATGTCGGGACTAATGTTTTTGAGACTTTATTGAGTATAAGAATGGATATTGCAAGAAAATAATATTTATATGATAGAAAATAAATATAGAAAGAACTATAGGTCAAATATTACAAAATACGAGTAAAAAAAATATTTGTTGTTTTTAGAAGTGTCATTAAGATATATATACGTAATTACTACCTTAAGTAAAAACGGACAAAGAATTAAACAAAGCTAAATCACACCCGCTATACTTCCAATTTTCTTTTTCCGCTTATTTGTTACTTTTCTCAAACATTCTCGGTTAATATTATATTTCTCTACCCAATTTACTCCTTCTTTTCATTCTCTCTTTTATTTTCTTCCTTTTCATTAAACACGAATACGAGCACGACACGAGCACGAATAGGCACGACACGATTCGAACCGTGCCCGGTCCGGGCCTAACAATGTTAGCAAATGGACTTGCACGACACGAAATAAATGGGCTTGAAGTGTGCCCGTGCCATGCCGGCCCAAGCATGACCCAGCGCCCATGTACAGACCCACCATAGATATGGAGGAAAATTGGAAAATTAGGTATAGACGTATAGTGATAACTGATAAATTGAGAATATAAATTAAGGCGCATCTAATTGAGAATTGTTGACCTTACAAATGCTTGATGAATTTACAAATCATTTATTGAGATATTCAAAATTTTCTAACGAGTTATGTGAAAATAACAATGATGCATATGATCCACATAAAATCAATGGTGTAATTAGTCAATGGTAACAAATAGTGTCACATGCTGGGTCCTCGCGAGTAAAATGGGTAAATTCAGTATAATAGTTAATTGATATTGAAAAGTAGGACGCGTCTAATTGAGAATGGATAACCGATAGGTCTGGTATTTGAACCTTGGCGGCCCCATTTGTTAAGCACATAATAATCATATTTGTGCAAACTTCAAGCCATATAAGTTGGTTTTTATTTGACGAATCATTTTAGTAAATGGTATAAGATCAATTATTCAATTTAACCCAACAACTCCAGTTATTTATAATAAACAGTTCTTGAGGAAATGCATAATTTGAAATCGAACGAATATCTAAATCATGAGTTATTGTTCTGTACCCATAGAGTGATATTTTTATATTTTCAACTACCAATGTATTTTAATTAACCAAATTTTTTCAAACCTAATATTAAATCATATATGAATAAATGGTTTCGTTTGGGCTAAGACAATTTAAATGGTTTCGTTTTGCATCAATTTGAACTGACAGGGCAAGGACATGTATTTTGAATTGATGCTTTTTATGAGGAAGTTTCATAAATGCATCATCCAAACGACCTCTCGGATTAGTCACTCATGAGGTATGTTAGGGTTATAATAGGGCGCAGATGTTTGGTTACTAAATGCATAATTTTTTTCTCAAATTAATTTAACGGTTTATATCTCTTCAAATTTAATTTGGAATTCAAATTTTTTCCATAGAAAAATCAGATTAATCATGTCTTTAAAATGATATATCGTTTTATATATTTTGGCGGAGAAGTTACCCGAATTTTACTCCACATTGGTCTGACAAGAAAAAATATAAGGTAAATTTTATTAATATTTACAATGAACCATGTTGTGTTTTCAAATACAGAAAAAATTATAATACACGTTCATCATACAAACAAGTTGTCAAGCATTTTTTTTTTTTTTTGCGAAAAGGGAGCCCAAGGCCAAGCAAAACAGAGCGTTATAGGGGAGAGCTAAAACAAAGGGGTCCAATGAGTAGCAACACTCCGCTCAAAAGTGGTGTCGATCGTGTCCTCCCAAAGGATCTGAGTTAAGCCTGGGGGCGGGTTTGCAAGCTCATGCGTACCGTAGGGATAGACCAGACTGTGCTTCGAGAGCCAGTCCGCGACTCTATTCCCTTCTCGATACGTATGAGTAATGCTAACCAACCAGTCATAGCTTAACTTCCTTCGAATTGCCGAGAGAAGGGTGGCATAGGGGTGAACCAGGTCGTGTCTGCTAGAGATCAGCTGAATGGTCAACAGGGAGTCAGACTCCACCTTCAAGTACCTACATCCAGTGTTCCAAGCCAGATCAAGTCCATAAGAGAACGCCCAGAGTTCCGCTAAAGCTGCCGATGCAATTATGATGTTCGCAACAAAGCCAGAGACCCATTGCCCAGTAGAATCTCTAATAACACCTCCTGCCCCAGCTGGACCTGGATTCCCATTTGACGCTCCATCAATGTTCAGAGTCCACCAGCCTGCCCGGGGAGGTTTCCATTCGATTAGAGAGGTGCTTCTTCTTGTCGCGCCTTTCCTTCCCCCTGGAACACGGGAGGGAGCCTCCCAAGCCTCGTGCCACAACTTGGTTCTTGCTGCTATGGAATGGGAGAGCGAAGAAGGCGAGAGGGCTGCACCAGCTCTATTGAATACATAGGTACATCTGTTTGGTGATCATTAAGCACCGAGTACGCCGACTTCACTGAGGATTTGCCATCAGACGTGGCTTTCCAAAAAATGGTATCCTCCTTGGTCGAGAGTTTGTCCACCGCAACACTAACAATCCTGGCAGTAACCTCGGCTGGGAGTAGGTCCTTGAATTTGTCTGTGATCCACTCCCCATCGCTGTTGACAAAGTCAACTACAAGTGCGTGCTCCAGGTCTGCTGGGATTGATCCTATGACAACCTACTTGAGTGGAACCTGCAAAATCCAGACATCCATCCAAAATTTAGTGTTCTTTCCGTTCTTAATGTTCCAAGCACAGCCTTTCCTGAGCAGACAGGCTGCCTTTTAAAAGCTATTCCAGGTGAAGGAACTTCCCTGAATGTGACGAAGCATATCAAGGCCCTGTCTTTGCTTCCTGTATTTTGACTGCATAAGCTGAGTCCACAGACTATCTTTTTCTTTGAGAAGCCTCCATCCACCCTTCGCTAGCATCGCCAAGTTGGCTTGTCTCGTCGATCTCAGGCCTACCCCTTCTTGTTGTTTGGGGCGAGTCATGATTTCCCAGGCAACAGTATGCATTCTGCCTTTGTCATCTTCTTCGTTCCATATGAAATCCCTGTTGATCTTATCGATGCTCTTACAAACTGCACTAGGAATTAGCTCAGTGTTCATACTGTAAGTGGGGATGGAAGAGGAAATAGATTTAGCAACAGTTAAACGAACTGCAAAAGAAAGTTTCTTAGCCATCCAAGGAGCCAAGCTTTTCTTGATGCGAAGAATGAGGCCTTGGTATCTCGACTTGAACACCCGGCCATGAATGCCTTCGATGCCTAGGTACTTCCCTATCG